CTGCAAGTGTCTCCTAAATATGAATATTTTGGCAAACTCTTTCCTTCTTACTTTTTTATCTTCCCCACCTACCTAAGGGACAAATAGAGGCAGGTTGTACTACAGAGATAGAGTAAGAATTTCACTTCTTAAAAGTAATGTTTATAATTATTTCTCATGGGACCCCGTGGCTGAATGGTTAAGTTCACATGCTCCACTTTGGCAGCCCGGGGTTTTGCCGGGTTCAGATCCTGGGCGAGGACTTAGCACGGCTCATCAGGCCACGCTGAGATGGCGTTCCACAGAACACAACCAGAAGGACCTACAACTAGTATATACAACCATGTACTGGGGGGCTTTGGGGAGAAGAAGAAGAAGAAGAAAAAGAAAGATTGGCAACAGATGTTAGCTCAGAGCCAATCTAAAAAAAAAAAATTATTTCTTATGAATTTAACCAAAAGTGTGTACAAAAATGTATCTACTAACTATATTTGTCATGAAATTAGGACATGCACTTTTCTATTATATACACTACATATACAGCAACATTAGAGTGAATGTGTATAATTCCCTTCTCTCCTTCATCTACTCAGTGAAAAGTACAGATAAACGTATTTTCAGAGCGGCTGAACATTTATATTAGAAATACAGCCTCTTTAAGAATACTGAAAATATTAACCGTATTTTACTACATCTACTTTTAACATATGGTGAGCACGTCTAAATGTCTAGAAAAGCTAGATATTTTAATTAAGGACTTCAGTTTAATCAGTATATACACTACATATACAGGAGTCCTGAGTAACAATGCACATATGGAAAAATGGTCCTAACATGCACATTCTGGGAAGGGTCCCCCTCCCTCACTGCCTTCTGCCCTCCCCTCCAACTCTGGAAACAAACGTGGACATGAGCCCAAGAAGTGATGCAGAGATTGCATTTCCAAGTCATTTCCAGATCATGTTTCTCTCCAGTGAATTTTAACAGAAAGATGATTACAAAACAAGTAGTTTTTCTAATTGTACTTTTAGCATTCATTGACTTCTCTGCATCTAGAAAGGCTAAATGTTGCAAACAAGGGCTTGAAGTTTATTTTAAAAGGCTGAGGAAAAAGCTTACAGTGGCTTGTCCATATTATATGCACAGGTTTATAGCTGGTACATCTTCCAAACAGGTGGTCGTCATTCCGTGTGGCCAAATGAGGCGCATCATAAGCCCGAGATTTTGCTCTCTGTACCAAGAACACCCAGAGGCCCCTGTTGGCCTGCTGATGTCCTGGGCTCTCTCAAGGGTGGCCTGGGCCTGGCAAAGTTGGGCCTGAGGACTTTATCTCACCATTTCAGCTTGGGGGTGGGGGGGTGCCCATGTGCCCCCAGGGGCTTGGAAGTGTCAGGGGCAGCTGCTGCCTCACTCCTGGCTCAGCCCTGGAAGGCAGGGCTGGCTGTGGCAGCACTCGCCCATCCTCTGGAGCAGGTGCTCAATAAGTAGGCTGTTTTAACACACACATACAAAACATGTACTGTTAACCCCTAAGTGGGATCATACTATCTATGTGGATTGCTGCAATTTGATTTTTTTCACTTAATGTCCTCAAGATCATTCCCGTGGAGATACTTCAAGTTTTTATGAATATAGCTATACAAAACCTTCTTTTAAATGGTTTCATTGTAGTCTCTAGATGAGAGTAACAGAATTTAGCCAATTTCCTATTGATGGACATTGGTTTTCCTTATTTACTGCTTTGAAAAAAGTCTCAGACAACTAGCCTTATGTTTAGGAAAAAACTCAGATTTCTTTCTTTCCATATAGGGAAAAACCCAGTTGTTCCCTTCCGTACTTCTCTCCTGTGTGTCCACTTTACTACTCACATACAACACTTCTTGTCACCAAACGTGTGGAGGTCTTTCCCCATACCAAGCAATTCTCTGCAACACCAGCTGGATGTCCTACAAGTCAACTCAATCCTGACGCTGTCTACTGGAGCCAGCAGCAGATCCCCAGGTTAAGGGCTCAGTCCCACGAGACTGCCCTCCACTTCAGATGCCAATTGCAAGAAGCAGGTCCCCAGGTTACCTATAACTTTTGTCTGATTTGGCTACAAACTGCAGGTTCCCACAACCCGCTCCTCAGGTTTGATTAATTTACTAGAGCGGCTCATAAAACTCAAGGGAACATTTGTTTGCCGGTTTATTAAAGGATAACGTATACCGATGAACAGCCAGACGAAGAGACACACAGGGTGAGGTCCGGGAGGGTGCTGAGTGCAGGAGCTTCCGTCCCCGTGGAGTTGGCTGTGTTGCTCTCTCGGTGTGGATGTGTTTGCCAGCCTGCAAGCTCTCCGAACTGCCTATTGGATTTTATGGAGGCTTCCTCACTTAGGCGTGATAATTATTAACTCCATTTCCAGCCCCTCTCCCTTCTCTGGAGGATGAAGGTTGGGGCTGAAAATTCCAAGCTTCTAGTCATGGCTCTGTCTTTCTGGTGACCAGCCCCCATCCAGGAGCCATCCAGGAGCCCACCCAGAGTTGCCTCAATAGAACAAAAGATGTTCCCAGTGCTCTTCTCACTTAAGGAATTTACAAGGGCTTAGGAGCCCTGTGTCAGGGACAGGATCAAAGACAAATATTAGAACAAGAGATGCCCCTAGTGCTCTTATCACTTAGGAATTTACAAGGGTTTCAGAAGCTCTCTGCCAGGCCTGCACTGGGGACAGAGACCAATATATATATTTTCTATTCTCTCACACCTTATATCCTTATCCCCATAGAAATTCCTGAGTGGGGTTGCCAGGACAGAAGTTATGCACAGTGAAACTTTGACACATATAGCCAAATTACTTTTTAGTAAATTTAAGCCATTTTACACTCCCACCAAAAATGCTTCTTTGCCCACATTCTCAGCAACACTGGTTATTGCTTATCTCAGGCAAAAATAATCTTATTGCTGTTTTCACTTCTACTTCTTTGACTAACGAAGCTAAACATCTTTTTACACAGCTATTGATCATTCTCATTTCTTTTGTGAATTTCTTCTTCTTGTTCTACATCTTTTTTTTTTTTCCTATTAGTGGTTTTGTTCTTAAGTTTTCATGTACTCGAATCTGTTTTCATGATGATCAGCATTATGACTGCTTAGAAATACCTTTCCTCTCTCACTATAAAATCCTTTCCCTACGTTTTCTTGCAGCACCTTTCTATTCTCAGTTTTTAAGTCCACGAACCATCAGAATTAGTTTTGATGTAAGATGTGAATGACAGAAGCAACTCTATTTTTTCCCAAATGGCGAGCACACTGGTCCAGCATCATATATCATATAATCTGTCTTTCCCCCACTGACCTATAGAATGTCTAAAGCACTGTTTTTCTTTTTTAAAAGTAAGATGTGCCTGTACATGGTATGAAAATAAAAAAGTATGAAAGGGCACACAGTGAAATGTAACTTATTACTGACCCTAATTTTCCTCTCTGGAGGCAGGCAGCTCATTAACAGCTCATTGTGTATCCTTTCAGATACTCTATTGCACGCGTAACTGTAAATGCGGGTGGGACATTTATGTTGTTTCTAGTCTTTTGTTGCTTCAAACAGTACTGCAATGAATATCGTTATATATAGCGCTCATCATTCATAAGTAAATCTATAAAGTTCCTGAAAGTAGAACCTGAAAGCTCAAAGAACACGGGCATTTGAAAACTTGGTGATGTCCAATTGCTCTCCAGATACTACACCATATATTTATACTTCTACTAAAACGTGTGAAAGTTTGACTAATATCTTTCAAGTCTGGGGGGTTATAGCCTCTGGGGCCCACTTTTCTGAGGTCTTAGGCAACAGAACCAACAACAAATCTAATGGACACGAAATTCATGACTCTGATTCTTTTCTGAACTTCATTGTTCATTCTGTGGGTAGCTAGTACAAAAAACTCCTCAAGAATTTGTAATCTAGTGAGTTGACTTGAAAGCGTGTGTAACTAACACACGGCTAAGTGCAATCAGTACTGGGCAGAACCGCAGCACTCCAGGCAGCGCAGAGGGTTCAGCCGGTTTGGAGGCCGCGGGGAGAGCGAGGGAAGAACGCTACTGGAGCTGGAGGCCCTGGATGGAAAGCAGCTCACGCGAGAACGGCGGGAGGAGACCTTCGTGGTTGAAGAGCAGCACACAACGAATTAAGGAGTAGAAAGAGCACTTGAATCCTCTCTGTCAGATGGAAGGCACTGATAGGGAGGGGTTAAAGTTAACTTCACAACATTGTGAAAACACCCACAAACCTGTTACACTGTAGAAACTAAATGTTAGTTCTCATCCCTCTAGATTCTGGGACACATGAGTGAGTAAAACAGGTACAAGAAGCCAACGTCACTCACCTTTCCAGTGCTTCTGAAAAGCTAGCTTATGAGAAATGAGATGCTATTTTCTGGCCATGTGATGTCATTAGTCCTACTCTTTGGGTGTCAAAGTGGCCTTTTGGCCACTTAGTAGTTAATCCTCCTCCCTGCCCCAAACAGTACTCTGAACGAGCCAAAGGAAGGCTGCTTCATCTCTACTGGCATCTACTGGTTCCTGCAAATACTTTGAAATTTTCCTCACCTGAAAACTGGGAATCACAGATCATAATCAGTAGCCTCAAATATCAAAACTTCGTCCCTTTTAAGAGAATAGGAACACAAATAACATAAAAGAATTCTACAGAGGGAAAATCTATTATTCAGCATTTTGACAACCACAATTTTACAACTTTTACACTGTTTTGAAGGCACTTACAATCCTAAAGTGACTTCTGAATTGAAAATTAAATTATGTTCAGTAAAAGCTAAGTTAAAACCTTTCTGAATAAAGCAGTCTATACCTCTAGCCGAGGTAAACTACAATGGTGTTGCACCCCAATAATACCTGTCTTAGATGTCGTTACCCCAGATTATTAGCCAAATCTCTTTCTCTCAACACTCTTTTACCAGATTTTCAAGATGACCAAAAAAGTTCCTCTCTCCTTTGGTAAATACCACTTTATAACAACAACAACAAACTGTTAAAATACAGGACTTTATTTGTTTATTAATAAAGTAAATTATTATGATTTTTGAAAAAAAAGTTTAAAAGTGTCCAGCCTTCATGTTAATGTAGGTTAGGCCATCCAAAAGACAAAGCAAAGAGCTAACATTAAGTCATGGTCCAGAGTCAGACTTATGAGAAACAAACACAAGACTGGTGGCACTTGATAAGTAAAGACAACCAAAGTAAACTCTATTTCAAATTTGTTTATATAAAAGCATATTAAAGATCACTTTAAAATAGTGTCCATATTTTCTTTTAAATGGGCATAGACTCATCTGCAATCATGTACAAATATAGTAAACTTGCCTGATAGCTTTCTTAAGCTTTTAATACAAATACAATTCCTTGCTTCTTTATGCAACCCAACAAAATAATACAAAGTGAAGTCGTTAGAAAAATATGGACCTTTCTGAATCTATATTGCATTTTTAATTGGAAAATACAGTTCAGATCATATGAAACATGGATTTCAGGTTTATATATTACCTATATCTTGCAGATTATTAGATATGGTATTTATTTTGGCTGAAATGCAAAAATATGATTAATTTCTTAATAACAGATTAGTTAAAAATACTCCCCATTGATAGCAGTGCTAGTCCTAGAACAAAGTGTAAGTGAAGCATATTTGTAAGTCACTGTCTACTCAGTGCCCCAAATACGCAGATCCTAACATGAAGCCCTTAATAGACATTTGCTTTAAAGATTACTGAATGGAAACTCACGTCTGATAAACTTTAATTCACACAATCCTGTAAACATAGTCAAAATCTGTTTCTAATAGAAATAAAATTCAAGTAAACATTGCGTATTTGATTTAAACTAATCTTATATTAACTTAGGACACATTGGATCATAACCACTAAATATGTAAAAAGACTTTAAAAATCATCCACATGTAAAGATGAAACTAAACCTTGTAAACACGTTCCTGGTGGTAAGACTACACTGGCGCTGCTCTGTGGTTGGCCTGGCGGTACTGGTCAGATGCCTTGAATATTCAAGTAGTTTGGATCCAGGTAAAACCAAGTCTCCTGCCCAATCTGTTTTTAATGGCAATGGTCATACCTGAAATTCAACTTTATTTTCCTTAAATATCATCATATCTGTTCAAGTGTTTGAAGGACCAAAGATGGTACTAATAAATTTTGACAAGGCTTCATTTTGACCGTTTCTCCCCAGAGTTGCTAGCATGAATCAATACCAGTTAAACACCAAAGAGGCAGCCTTTCCGTGATCCCCATTCCACCTGCAGGCCCTTGGGGAATGGTCATTAATACGCAGGAATAAACTCAGCCAAGTATTATTTAGAACGTGGCAAAATGTTGGCCATAAATTAAACCGAAGGGAACTAAAGTGAAAGGCTCTAACTGAAAATTTCTGGAGAAGTGTTTACTATGCTATTAAATATGATGCTAAACAATAGAAATGAAAAGAACTGAGAAAGATTACAACCCCACAAAAGGGCCTGAATAGGTTAAGGGGAAAAGTCTCTTTCCTCAGTTGCTAATCAGGTGCATTCTAATCCTGTGATCTAAATGGAGACAGACTCACAGAAAGGAGCAGTGAACACGTCTGAAAGTAGTCAAGTGAGTTTAAACACGTACTATTTCCCTGTAATATGCAAACCGCCAAACTGAAATGATGTTTTTGGTTGGTAATTGATATCCCTTAACTCTCATACTTAAAAGTTTTCTAGAACCAAGACTATTAAGATTACAGAGTTGAAATAAAGGTATAAGAATTCATATTACAGTATTCTAAGTTGTATTTTCAAAGATAACTCATTCCTTTGGTTCAAAGGGAAAAAATGTTACTTCTTTTTAAAATCTGACGTTAGTATAGCCAATGGAATTAGATAAATCCTATAAATTGTAATGGTAAATAAACTGTAAACCTGGAATAGTTGACTGTAAAATTTATACTCCATTAGGAAATTATAGAGCTATCTCTAGTATACTGTTTGGTGTACAGAAGGTACTCTAAAAATATTTGTTGGATGAATGAAAAGTAAGGTTATTTTGCAAAATTAGAAATCGAAGAATGTTTGAGATTATCCAGTCCAACTGCTTCCAACGCCCCTCGCCCAATCCCACTTTACAGACAGGTAAACCATCACTGTTGGTACCTATAGATTCTGGTTAAGATTTATCTCTACCCACTACTGGAAGCAATCAATCGTTTTGGTTTCTGTGTGTGTATTTGACTAAACAGTATAAACAAGGAGTAACATTTCTACATCGTTTCTCCTTAAAGAATACTGTATTTTTCTTTAGAATTAATGCAACAATTCCTGTCATTGAGATTAGATTTCACAAGGAAAAAGGGGTTATGTGTCTAGGCAAAAAGGGGTTGTTGTTAGGAAGTCAGATTTAACATTTTGCATTTAAGAGTGGAATCCACTGCTCAGAGACTGGAAGCTTTAAATGACTACTCAGGTTAGAATTGCTTTTCTGAGAGCAGTATTACGCTAAACAGTTTAACCCTAGTTCAAATTGCATTTTAAGTCACCGTTTAAGCTGTTACAGGATTACTACAAAAAGTTTCAAAGTAATTTTTAGTCATTACCTAAATTGAAATTTGAAAGGCAGCTCAATAGCATGCTGCATTCTAAGTACCTTGGGACTGAAATATTTAACAGCTTACAAGCCTGCCTATCCTCCTCTTTACACTTTTCTTCCAGCCACTTCTAGCTGTTCCTACTGGGTCCAATGCTTCTATAGCATGTGTACCTTTGTGCTTTCCTGCCCATATAAATACCCAGGAAAGTTCAACAAAAAAGTAATTTGAAAGCAGAAACAAAAAAGTTCTTAAACTGCCAAGCTGTCTTTCAGCCTTGGGCAAGACTCTACCCTACATGGTTGGATTGATGCTCAGAACTAAGCCTTCAACGGATTATACAAATGTGCTCCCTATTTTAAATGATTATATTTAGATATCTGAATCCTTCTGAGTGTTATTTTATAGCCAACAATAAAAAAATCTTTATTAAAGATGTTGAAAAGTATAAAACAGTAATTACAAATTAGGAAACACCCAATTTAAAAAAAAGCCAGTTATTTTCTTTTCCTTACACAGTACAAGCAACAGCAATTTGGATATTATTATTCACTTTCAGCCACCATGCTGCCCTGGATGTATTTCACTTAAGACAAGTTTTTAGCTTGTGTTTCTGGAGTGAACATTTATATGGATACTAAGAAACAGCTCTAATAATGTAACTCAGGTATCAGAAAAATACATATGCCATGTTACCATGTCATTTGATAGCTCATATTATAGCATCTCATAGTGTTACTTCCAAAGTAAAATTAAGTCCCTTTTGTGGCTGTAGGTCAATGCTGCACAAACGGGCTAACTTCAGATTAAGGCATGCTTCCCGCTCCAGAGCAGTGCTTCTGTGGGTCCAGGATCTGCACAAAGGCTTCCTTTGTTAAGAAATACATCTTCCATTAGACTTCAATTATTTCATTCCATTGATCATTTTCTTGCAAATAAAACTGAAAATATCAGTCCATAATATGTTTTTATAAACCTATAAAACCAGAAACAATGAGTTATTAGTTAAAACCTGATTTTTAATTCTAAAAATAAGATTTACTAAATCGCTCTGAGGGCTAAAGTATAAAGCTGCTAATATAACACGATAGGAAAGAAATACTTTGATACTACTAATACTGTAATAATAGTGAAGATTTCTATAAGCAGCATATAAGGGATATCACTGACTTCTTCCCCAGAAGCAATCGAGAGCATTTTAAAGAGGCAGACCCTTACAGTTCTCCATTACTGTTCACTTGGACGTAATCTGAGGAGGCGTCTTATCCATACCTTTCTAAGATGCTACAGGATGTAGGGAAGTACCCATAGCAACAGTTACAGGAACGTGTCAGTTAAGGATTCTCAACAATCATAAGCATTAGCCATTTTTCCGCCTACATTAAAAAGAAATGTAGAACCACTTCTGAGGACCCCTGTCTGAGGACCAGCTGCAACACCACAGCCACAGTTCTCGGTGGCAGTGACCATGACATAGGATGGCCACACAGGGCTCCTGCTGCTGGTCTCCAGAGGCCAGTCTGCTCTGCAATGAGCCCCGCCTGAGTGCCTGTGTTCTGATGCTGTCTAGGCCTTAGGCTCTGCCTATAACTTTGGACACAGGCTCCAGGTCCTTTGTGGGGAACTGAATGCTAACAACAAACACCAAGCAAGGAAACACATGCTCCCCTAATTGAAACTCCCGATGAGAACCCTTTGAGAAAAATGAACTCCTGACACAGAGAAGTTGAGCTAATAAATGTGTATTGCCCTAAGCTGCTAAGTTTGTGGTAATGGTTTACATAGCAATAGGTAACCAATAACACTATAAGTAGGTTTTGAAATATCTAACAGCTATGCAAGATGCTACTGAGCCACTGAGCTTAGCTCCTGACTTAAATATAGATGGCTGTCTTCTTTGTTTTTAAGCATCAGGAGAGAGAGTTCACTACATCCTTTGCCGTTCAGCTGACATCTTAGACAGGACCCTGACTGCTTATAGTACTATCTATACTTATCTGTCTGCAATGTCTTCTATTGCTATTTCAATTAATTCCTCTGGCTATTGTCTCTGGGCACCCAGATTAAAGAATGGTTGATCAATGCACTTGCTCTTTTCCTGTATCTTTTACAAAGTAAATAAGACCAATGAACCTCAAGTCTTTTTTCAGCCTTCAATTTTAGTAACTCCTCTTTGGATCAAATTTCTTCAATAGTGGGCAAAAGTTTCCCCTTTTTTCCCAAAACTAATTAATAAGGTACTGTTTACTGAAAAGGTTAGTTGTCCATACACCAATCCTAAACAATTTTTATTAGTTTTTTCATTAATCTACCAATAAATATTTACTAAGGTTGTGCTAGGAGTGGTAAGAAAAATGGGACATAGGCAGATGTTATCTTCCAATCTCAACTACCTAATTTTGCTGATATAATTGAAAGAGTAAAAAATTGAATCATAAATTGCTTTGAGATGATGAAATATGCAAGTTAACCGCATTTGTTCTCCTTTATACTGTCTTACCTTGCTCTTATTCAATTGGTTAGTTATGAACAAGTGGTACTCAATTTTCTATTGCCACTGTAACATGGTTATTTGTCCCTGCAAGCACATAATTATATATGATATGACAAAAAAAGAAGTATCAAGTTTCTGGCTACCTGGTAAAATTGATGATTACGGTAAAAGCAACTCTTACGTAACCACTAAATAGGCTTATCGTGCCAACTATTTGTCTTCCTGTAGAACCCAGAAGTAAGTTCAGCCCTGCTAAGAGCTCAAAGTCTGGTTTTAGGCTTATCTTTGTGAAATGTCCACTGGCTTTAAAGCTGTTCAGTAGCGATAATTAAGAAGTCCACAAAATGAATTTTCCCTTGATCTTATACAAGGGGTCTAATGATACTAATCTTAAGAGAATAACTTAAATGCTGCTAAAAGCCAAAGAGATAGCCAAAAAATCAGAAATTCTGACAGCAGGTTTTCAAGTTCTTAGGGTACTTCCTAGACTTAGTACTATTTGATCTGAATGTCCAAACCATTTTTCTACACTACAAGAAGATAAGGACAGTGTTGTCACTAATATTAAGAACTACCACAGGTGTATTGTAGGCTATAATGCTAGTGAGCGGCCAGACGATATGAGAAACCCAGGCCCCTTCTGTCTTATCAACTGTTCTATAATGCATCCCTAATTCATGAAATGGTTAAGAGTCACCAAGAAAAGGTTAAAATATATACAGTGCACCCTTTTTATAATAAGGCAGCAAAGAGTGCAATGCACTTCAAAAAATTATTTTCAAATAAGCAAAAACTAGGAATAACCTTGTTTAAGTGTTATTCAGAATATTATGCCAAAAGAATTTCTACAGCTGAGGTAAAGAAGTATGTGTCTGCGTAACAAAAAAACCCCCAACTGTGAACAGAACAAAACACAGCAGCAGCCATTTCACTTCCTCACTCAAACCCCTTCTCCAGAAAAGCTACCAATAAACACTAACACCCATATATGAGATTTTATTAAAAAGCTCCACATAGTTTAGTATTTTAAAATATCACATTATTTTGATTTTTCCATATTTATTAAATCTGGTGATTTTCATTTTAGCCAGATGAAGCAATGTTTCCAGACGACAAGTGTTACCTGATCTGACGGTGCTTTCTTCAGATCCATTCTCTAGCCACTGAGACTCACTGTCCAATAACCGGTTTTTTGATTCACTAAGTGGTTTGACAGGAAAGGGTTGATTTGAGCCAATACTGAAAAGAGGAGCAAATAATTTAGTAAACAGAGTAATGCTCAATCAAGGATACTTAATTAATAAGCAGCAAATTAGTATTCCTTCTCTTAAATATGTGAGGGCAACTCATGAGATCTCAGCACTCTGAAAAAACTATCTTCAAAAGAAAACTATGCCCCCAACCCCCCATTAAATGGCTCTCTAGACCCAAGACCCTGTTCTTCACTATTGCCGATGAAAAGAGACAAAAGAGAAAAGCTGCTGCGGCCGGTCTGAAGCGTCTTTAACACGTGTTAATCGAGAGCCATAGGGACACAAGGACACGTGAGGATCTATGTCTGTGGCAGGACAAAAAAGTTACCTGTCATTTCCCAAGTTTTCTGCTTTTTACCTCTGCAGTTTAGATCTAAGGGGAAAAAATGATTTAGTGATTTAGCGTAGACTTATTTTTCTAGCTAAGGGATCCAGGGAGGGAGGGAACAAGGAACGAGAGGAGGAGGAAAAGGGAACTACCATCTGTTGTGTCCTGCTCCGGGGCAGACACGGCACCAGGTGCTTCAGGCACAGCACCTCGACCTCGCAGCAGCCCTGGGAGGCAGGACCGCCCTCGTTTCAGAGAGCTGGAAGCGGAGGCTCAGAGAGCTTCAGTGACTTGTTCAGACCCACACGAACCGAGAGCTCTAGGTCTTAAGGCCTCAGGTTCAAGGTTCTCAGACCGATGTTCTTCCAACATTAACATGCTAGCTTGGAATTCATAACTTCTCCTCCCCCACATTTACTTATGCAGTAAATACGTTTCAACTGTTTCACTTTGACACAAGTATCTCTCTCTTTAAAATTTCATTAAAAATTAACTATTTCTCTAAATTTATGAATCAGTTTGCTTGCCACGCAAATACTGAAAAAATATCTTCTAAGATGAATGAATGAGAAAAAATTTTATACTTGTATTTTTAAATCCTCATTAATATTATTTTCACACTGCAGTTAAAATGTTTATCAAAATAAAATGTTGAATAGTACAATAACTAATTTCTTTGAAAAACACAACTGACATAAACTAATATTATCAAATCTTGAAGAAACGTCCTGGTTTCTAGGAAGATGCAGCATATTTAGGGCCCATGCTTCCTGGTTCACCCAGACATTTCCAGTTACACGTGATTACCCCGGTTAACCATTAAGCAAGCATTCTCTTTCTGACTCTCAAAAGTGGTCTAGTTTGGTGGATTTGGGATGATAAAAAATATGTTTATCCAAAGCATATCAAGTATATACACACATTAACCCTCAGTTAAAAAAAATTTTAACAAAATTTCTGTTTCCTTATCTATGCAGGCTTATGAAATTACTATTCTATTTATCTAGAAGATATTGTAAGTAACACATACATACAGTTTGCTTTGTAATGAATACTGAAAAACAATGACAAGAAGCACACACACCTTCTGGCATATTCGTTTTGGTTTGAAACAGAAGCTTGCTCTGGATCCATCCCCACCAGGCGAGTTGGGAAACTGCAACCATCACCCAAACTGCATAACAGAAAATATCAGTAATGATTGAAATCATATTACGTAAACCAAAGTGATCAGATTTAACACTTATTTTTTGGAGGCATGGTATAAATTATCATAACTTGTCATTTCAGAGAATAATTCTTAACATTTCTAATTTAGAATGTTAATCAGCCTCCATTAAAAAAATAAGCCTTTTTCTTTTATAATTTACATACACTTAAAAACCATATCTTGAGCTCCTTATTGCTGGAGAAGGAGAAAAGTGCCCCGTATCCTTTCAGGACTCTTGGTCTTTTGGGCGTGACAGAAATCGACTGAGGGAAGAGGGAGGAAAATGCCCTGGATCCCTGCAGGATTAATTTATTCAAAAAGGAAATAATAGAAAAAGAATCAACATGCAAAAGTCTTGTGAAGAAAATGAAGGAAAACCACAGAACATGCCAAAGGCTGAGGAAGACCGCCCTTCGGAAGATGTAGCACAGGAGGCAGAAGGAAATCCTCAACCTTCCGAAGAAGGTGTAAGCCAGGAGGCAGAAGGAAACCTTAGAGGGCGGCTGATTCAACCTGGCCAGGGACTTAAAGAGGACACTCCCGTTAGGCATTTGGACCCTGAAGAAATGATTAGAGGAGTAGATGAGTTGGAAAGGCTTATAGAAGAGTTAAGAAGAGTAAGAAACAAATTTGTGATGATGCTTTGGAAGCAAAGACATTCACGCAGCCGTCCTTATCCTGTGTGCTTTAGGCCTTGAATTCTTTTTTTGTCTGATATTAAAATCTGGCCCCTGCTTTCTTTCTGTTAGCATTTTCTGATGTATCTTTGACCTTCATTTTACTTTTAATCGTCTGGTGGAATTTTGTTTTAGGTAGTTTCTTTGTTACCAGCACCTCACTGGATTTTGTATTTTAAACCATTCTCTAGGTCTGTTTTTCAATTGGGAAGTTTCACATATATGCATGAAAATATGTTCATTCCATATTGTAAAGTAAAACATAACAGGTTACAAAGCAGCATATTTAGTATCAGCTCACATATGTAGGATAAAATCCCAAATTGTGTGTGTGTGTGTGCACGTGTGTACATACATACATACATGCATACATACATACATATATCAAAAACTTAACTGTGCTTATTTCCGTGTGGTGTGTTTTTCTTTTTGCTTATATGTATTTTTTAATGAACACGTGTCACACACACAAAAAATTAAAATTTTTTTAATAAGTAAGAGTCAATCAAATAATTTGTAACCAGCTTATAAGGGCAATGGGGGCACCTAAACTCTTGATGAAAGAACTATTAAAAAATATAAACCTCAAATTGCCTCTGGATGTCTCAGCCAGAGGAATAAAACTGGCAATTACTACAGAAAGGAAAAAAAAAAAAAATAACAATATCTTCCATGGCTACTAAGATTATAATACTTCAAACATAGATATTCAAATATTAGGGTAACTCACCTACTCATCACAATCATTTAAGACCTCACAAAGGCTCAAACTGAAATTCAAGACCTAAGTTCCACATGTTTATTCATTCAACAACATTCATTAAACAAATATTTACTGAATGTCTACGATGTTCTGGGTACTATTTTAAGGGCTAGGGATATAGTAGGGAACAAAAGAGAAAAAAATCTCTGCCCTCAAGAAGTTTCCAGTCTAAGAAAAGTAAAGATACACCTTACTTTCACATTTTAGAAACATCAAAATTGTCTTCAAGAGAGACTTTGACCTCTAGACAAGATGGATTAACTGGTAAGTTTTGCCTCCTGTTGTAAACAGCCAGCAAAGCGAACAGCATACACAAGTGTTTGCAAAACAAGCAGCGCAGAACTGTGGTCTCTGAAAGAAGAGAAACCAACCCAGTGAGTCCCAGCTTTCCGCCAGGACCTGAGCATCAGGAGGGGAAAGCAGCAGAGCAGGGGGCCTCACTGAAGCGAGGCGACAGACGGGGGGTTCTGAGGTGAGGTGGCCTGAATCTATCCGACAGAGCTGAGGAAGAAGGAGATGCGAAGAAAAGGCTACAGAATTCTGCACAGGGTTTTACTGGAGTCTTCCAATGAATACTAAGCTACACACGTGAATGTGGGAAAAGAACAACTGGGAAGTGTGCCGTGAACAGTTCACAGAGCTGGTGCCCAGGGCACGGAAGGCGTTCAAATTTGACCAGCCAGAGCAGAGAGATCTTACTGGACACCCAAGTTCAGCAGAGACCCCAGCAGGCTCCCACCTTTGTTGAAGGCTAAACATGCCTTAGAGAAAACGCCAACTTAACAAAGCTTAAAACAGCCTTAAAAAGGACCAGGCTGAAACACAAGTAACTTAACTGAGCCAAAACAAAACTCAACATTCTTTAAAGGGAGACAATAAAATTTAAACACGCAGAATTCAAAATGTCCACCATCCAATCAAAAATTACTAGCATGAAAAGTAGCAGAAAAATGCAATCCACAACTAAGAAAAAACAGTCAACAGAAAAGAATTAGAAATGACTATGAAGACCTGAAACAAGGACTTCAAAATAGTGATTATAAAGATGTTTGTGACTCAACAGGAAAGAAGTGGATAGAATGAAGAGAAAGTAAGATATAAAAAAAGAACCAAATTGAACTTCTAGAACTGAAAAATCTAATATCTGAAATGAAATTTCACTGAATGAGCTTAACAGTAGAGAAGACATTACAGAAGAAAAGATCAGCCAACTTATAGACATAGCAATAGAAATTATCCAAAATGAAGCAAAGAGAAAAAAGAAGGGGGTGGGGAGGGAGGGACATGATAGCAATGACCTGTACGTCACAATCAAGCAATTTAGCAAGTGTTTATTTAAGAGCACCTGAAAAGCCAGTGGCAGGAGTGCACAGGAAGAGTGGGAGCAGGCAGAAAAAACAATTGAAGACATATGATGAAAATATTCAAATATGATGAAAACCATAAATTCACAAATCCAAGACACCTAATGAACTTCAGAGAGGATAACATAAAGAAAACCAGACCAAGGAACTCCATCGTCAAACTGCTTAAAACCAGTGATAAAGACAGTATCTTTAATGTAGCCAGGAAAAAAAGACTGAGTAATTTATAAACAGTGGAGTAAAGATGAGAGTGAGGCTGATTTCTTGTCACAAACAACACAAGCCAGAAGACAATGGAACAGCATCTTTAAGGAAAAGAAAACAAACCAACAAACCTGTCAAGGTTGAAATCTGTTTACAGAAAATAACCTTAAAAAAAAAATAGTCTGTATTCCAACCAAAGTGGAAAAACCTTGTAATGCAGGAGACAAGAGATAATATACACAGGAGAGTGGTGCACTTGAAGACAGAGCAATAGGATCCATCCAAACCAAACACAGAAAAGAGACGGAAGAAAAGCTGGACCGTGCATCAGTGAGCTGTGGTGGAGCTGTGAGTGGACTGAGAAGCATGAACTGGAGTCCCTGCAGTAAGGAGGGGAGAGCGATGACAGAAGTATTTGAAGAAATAACTGTTAAAATATTTTCCACATTTGATGAAAGTTATAAAATCACAGATCCAAAAAGCTCCACCAATCCTAAGTTCAAGAAATATGAAGAAAACAATGCCAAGCCACATCATAATCAAATTGTGTGAAACTAGTGCTCAACAGAAAATCTTAAAAGCAGTCAGAGAAAAAAAGACACATTACATATAAAGTAAAAAAGATAATAACGATCACAAACTTCTCATCAGAAAAAAATGTAAGGCAGAAGACAGGCAAGCAACATCTAGAATTCTATACCAAGCAAAAATGTCTTTCAAAAATGAAGGCAAAATAAGTCATTTTCAGACCAAAAAAGGCAATACAGTTAAGGAAAAAAACTCCACAACAGTTACAAATATGTCACTTGAGTTTCAAATATTTTTTCCCTTTCTATAATGACTTTGGTATACAGATGGCCTAGGATGGCTGGGAATTTGGGAGAAAAGGAAACTATGAATCATCTTGAGCACACATTCTCATTTAGATTTGAGGTAAAAAGACACAATAGAATATATAATCTGTGATGGAATCTTTTTTTTTTTTAAGATTTTATTTTTCCTTTTTCTTCCCAAAGCCCCTGGTACATAATTGTATATTTTCAGCTGTGGGTCCTTCTAGTTGTGGCATGTGGGACGCCGCCTCAGCATGGCCTGATGAGCGGTGCCATGTCTGCACCCAGGATCTGAACCAGAAAACCCCGGGGCCGCCGAAGTAGAGCATGCAAATTTAACCACTCTGCCACGGGGCCGGCCCCTGTGACGGAGTCTTTGAAGATATGGCTAATAAGTAAAAATCCTTATAATTCTCCACTTCAAGCAACTTATTTTCATTTTAAAGCAAAAAGAGTGATTCTTATTTTTTATAAATCATCTTTTTTCCCTACTTTCCTTTTAAATATACGCCCAAACTCTCCTTTACCCTATCTAGTAAAAAACATAAAAAATAAAATATTTTATACAATCAAGATATTCTGAATTTTCATTCTCAAGGCTCATAAGAATGTCATTATATATTGAATTCTCTAAATCTTAAAACATTTAACCAGCGAGACAGAGACTATCACATACTCCATAATTTCTGAGACCTGCTTTTTATAAATTACCTTGAAAATATTGGAAGTAGCCAATATTTCTTTTCATCACCAAAGACTTGTCTCCAATTTTTACTGCATCCAAGAGAGAAACCATTTCCATCAGGTCCATAGGAAAATGTGGGTGCACGGAATGATTCTGTTTTATGTATATATGAAAAAAAAAAGAGTTAATCTATTTAAAAATTATAGGAGGGATGGAAAGTACCAATTTTACTACTTTATATCTTTGGTATCGAAAGCTACAAATATAATTCAAAATGAATTGTATATTTCTAACAATTAAAAGATAAATTTCTGAAACTTATTTTGGAAAAAATATTACCTCTGAATACTTCTTCACCCTTGAAAAATGAAAATGTCAAAATGATTATCTAATATTACTGAAAATCTACTGAAGTGTTCAGTATATCTTACTTTGTTTTGGTGTATGTGTTTTCTTAAAGATATTCTAATTCTTGCAACTTCATTCATTCATTATTTATGAACTTCCTACTATGCGCCTGATGGCACAGTACCAGGTATTTGGGATCCAAAGATAAATTAGATGAAATTCCTACCAAAGAACCCAGAGTCTAACAAAGTCTAACAGAACTACAATGTGACAGACATGTATGTGTGTACTGCGGGTGGGGCAGTGGAAGGTGAAATGTGGAGGAGGTGATACTTTAGCACAATCTTAAATAATGAGTAACAGGTGAGGAAGCAGAGGGTGATTAGAGACTGTTATTTCAAGCTTGGTTTGAAAACTGATATAGAGTGAGAGAGAAAGAGCTAAGTTTCATAAGAAAAGGGTTTTTTTCTTTACTTAAAAATAGAATGCACAGATGTTAGCTCAGGGCCAGTCTTCCTCAGCAAAAAAAAGGCTAATCTTCCTCAAAAGAAAAAAAGAAAAAAGAAAAAAAATAGAATGCATTTTGGCATGTTTTATAAGCTAAGGATAAGAAGTAGCCAGGGAGAGACTGATTGGGAAAGGTTGATGATACAGAGAAGTAAAAATTGATGAAAGAAAATTCTAGAAGAAATGGGATAGCCTCTAAAGAGCTCTAAAGATTAACATTAGGTACCACCAGAAAAAGACATCTTGTCCTCAGAAGTTAGAGGAAGGGTAACAGTGATGGGTTTGAAAGTAGAAATGTTTGTGTGAGGTTATAAGTGTGGGAAGATAAGAATTTACTTGTGCTGACTTACAATTTTTTTATGAAGGGCTCATAAAATGAGTAAGGAAATTGGGGAGAGTGGTGAAAATCTGGAATAACTGTTGTGGGTAGTAAGGTGACCTGATCAGGAACGCACATTATTGGGGCCAGCCCGGTGGCGCAGCGGTTAAGTGCACATGTTCCGCTTCAGCGCGGCCGGGGATTCACTGGTTCAGATCCCGGGTACAGACACGGCACCGCTTGGCAAGCCACGCTGTGGTAGGCGTCCCACATATAAAGTAGAGGAAGATGGGCATGGATGTTAGCTCAGGGCCAGTATTCCTCAGCCAAAAGAGGAAGATTGGCAGCAGATGTTAGCTCAGGGCTAATCTTCCTCAAAAAAAAGAAACACACATTACTACCAAATAAGAGTTGTGGGCTTAAGCGAGGTCTGAGACCAAATCTGTAGTTGTAAGCATCACCACGGGAGTGAAATTGCCCTCACCAGCTTTCTACAGCCCCAGTGTACAGGTAGATAAGATGGATATCTGGAATAACCTAGGTCATGCATGCAAGAGTTGCTAAAGTCATCTACCGTAGGATGTAGAAGAGAAAATGGTGAGAAACAAAGCCAGAAGGGAAACACACACTTGGGAGAAAAGTGTTGGAGAATGGAGGACTCAGTAACCTACAAAAGGAAGTACATTAGAGTACAGAAAAGGGAGAGATGAAAGGATAAAGTCTGTGGTAAGAGAAGAGAAAATTCAAGTTGAAAATTTCAGGGGCTCCTCAGTTCCAAGTGATTAAAAGGTTCAGTGTTTGGTTACGGGAATGACTGGCCACCAGAATCAAAGGGACTGGCGTGCCTGTTTGAGAGCACAGCAGTAGTTTGAATATAGAAACTCTTTCATGTGGGGAAATGATCTCAAGGTAGGCAGGTGACAGTCAGTAAGAAGGGTAGAGGTTATAGCCAAAGGATAGAATAGAATACTTTTAAAGGAGAGAAGAACAAAAATGTGGAAGTCGCAACGGAGAACTAGCCAAAGAGCAGGGTGTGAAGGTGGAGACGCAGAGGCAGGGGTGTGCTAGGCTAATGCTATTCCAAAGTGCGGGTCAGACCGCCTCAACAGGCTGTAAAATCAATTCAGTGGGGTGCAGCCGCCACTTCTTTCTAAGGAACTAGAACAGAAAATATTAAGAGTACACTGCACATAGTAGAGATTAATGAGGTTTTGTGTGATTTTTGCTTATTTTATTCATATAACTTTATAAATATGTGTGCATTCACTAGGTTGTGATATAAAATGATATGTTTCTTACTGTAGTCACTGGCAAAAAAGTTTGAAAAAAATTACTTAAAGAGAACAATGGGATTCCCAGGGAGCACTCATCTGTCAAACACCTGCAGGGGTCGGTGGGAAACAAACGTGGCAAACGGTAGTGTCCACGTCCCATCTGAAGCCGTCAGCTACCACAGCTCCAACTGAACGACACCAGAGGGGAGAATGGGCCCACTGTCCCACATCTGTCAACTCTGAGAAGGAGAGAGCTACTTTTTTATGTGAACTCTCTCAGTTTTTAGCTGTTGTGGGAGGTCTTAAGGGCTATACTTTGCCTGTAGGCTGCCTTTTGTCCTCTCTGATTAAAGGGAGGCAGAAGGTAGAATATTCTGTGAAGAGGACAACCAATTAATTAATAGATATAAAGAAAGTTTATTTACAAGGCAAAGGGATGAAGGCATGATGGAAATGGAGGGAGCTCAGCAGTGGAGAGGGAGCTGGGGGAGGGAGGGCACGGAAACCCTCACCTGGAAGCCTGAAGCGACTCAGTAGGACTACAAGATTAAAATGATCCAAATACGGAAGTATCTAATAAAAGTCTCCCGAAAATGCATTCTTCTTTCTATATTAAAATCAGTCCCTTCTGATTCTCCTGGCAGATACAGGGCTTCAGATGGTAGGGAGTCTGACTCCCTTACAAACACTGCGACAGACCCCCGTGTGGTATCTTGGTACATTAGCTGATGCCTAAATACTTCGGTTCTAGCACAGTGGTGCTGCTTACACGCACACAGCTCAGTCTGAGCAACGCCACACCACCTTTGTTTAGGAAATGCCTGTCCAATTATTTGAACACCTTACTGAATTCTTCCCCTGTATTTTCACTTTAAAAAATAAGCCAAAAAAGGACATAAAAGCTGATAGTAGTGATACAACACATAAGTTTCACTGTCAACCACCACAAAGATGGGAATGATTGACCATGTCAAAAATATAATTCCTTAGTCTCAATCATGAAACACACGCCAGTCAACTGTGTATTCAATTGGGGGGAAAAAAGGAAAGCACATGTGTTTTGGCTAAACAATACGCTGTATTAAGGTTTTAAAATTTTTTGCAATCTGAAAATGAAGCTCCTTTTCTTTCATAGACTGATTGTTGAAAAGCACTGTATAAATGTAGGAAACAGCTTTTATTTATTACAATTTATAAAATATGCTTAGTTCTCTGCTTTTATGTACAGTGTGCTACTGAAAATATATATAAAAGTCAGTCTCACGTCCTCAGCTCTTCCAAATGATGGGCCTTTTCATTCATCACACACCCACCACTTCCATCCAGTCACAGTGAGTTTTAACACAGAAACATTTTACACTTTCTTATTATCTAACTGCTGTCCTCCTCTAGATTTCATATTCATCTGTGGTCATTTTTCTAAATAATTATGATTTCTTTTAACTTACTTACCTATCGTTGTTCTATTTTTCCCAACTAGCCAGCAGTGGTAGCTGAACAGCGACAGGACGCTGATGAAGAACATTGTAGACACAAAGAAAAGAAAAAGCACGTGGAATTTTGCACGTGTAGCTGAGAGTTCATTCTGAGGCAAGAAAAAAGGAGTTAATTTTGAGGATGGTCAACCTCTAAAATATATTCTTATTTGGTTCTTCCTAAAGATTGTTGAATACACCAAAAAATTTGCCAGATATGAAGAGTAATGAAATAAATTAGATAATATATCCAAAAGCGACATTTCCAAAAGCAGAGAATTGGTATTATTAAAGGAGCTTCTTACATAAAATGTCAGAAAGTCATTTAAAAAATTCCTCTTAAATATGTAAAAATTTTAGCAATACTTTCCAGTAGTAAAGAAAAAAGAGGGACACTTTTCTCTAAGCTTTTCTTTCCTGCTTTCCAGGCAGCCCTCGTTTACTGCACGGCGCTTCACCACGCTCTGCAGATACTGCATTCCACGAGACCCTCCACAGCAAAAGATCCCAACTCGATGGGGGCTCAGACAATGGGCAGAAATTTTCAGCAATAAAGTGCTTTTCAAAGTATGTACATTGTTATTTTAGCCATAATGCTCTTGCACACTTAGACTCCAGTATAGTACAGAATGTAACTTTTATATGCACTGGGAAACCAGAAGCCTCCTGTGACTCACTTGCCTGTGCTAATTGCTTTATTCCGGTGCTCTAGAACCGTGCCTGCAACATCTCCGAGGTATGCCTGTGTATTCAAGCTTTCTCCAACGTCCAGGATATACGAGAGTTTCCTCCATTTATGTTAAAATATTTGCTTCCTTTAAATATATGCTGCTAACCAGAAGCTAATTGTGATAATTTTATTTTCATCCTTCTTTAATCTCTACTTTTGGAACACCACTCTAAACGTGCCCAGGCCCTCAGCGGCTTTGATTCCTACCTTTTTTATCCTTGCTCCACTCCTACAGAGCTTTGTTCGGCAATTGGCAATTTGGGTAAAGAAATTTACCATAAGGTATTAGTGAACGAAAACAGCTTCTCTGTTACCCATTCTTATGGCTATATTCATTTTAACAGAAGCAAAGTCTTAACTTAAAAGAAATTCCTATCTATTAATAGGAGAAGGAGGAAGCCTTTAAGTGTTAGCTTTTAAAACAAAACTGTACAGGCAAATGACAGACTCCACTAAAACATGAGGTGGTCCTGCTTGATTTAAACACCGTTTACAGGTTAAAAGGAAGCATTAGGTAAATCTGATATTTATCTTGTTCACTTCTCTCCCAGGGTAACTACACTACCTTTTAAATACGTCAAGTGATCCTTCTATCTCCCCGTCTTGTGAAGCAAATGAGTACTACAGTCACGCGTCAGTTTCGGACACGGACAGACCGCATATACGACGGTGGTCCCACAAGATGAGGACCACACAGCCTAGGTGTGTGTGGGCTACATAATCTAGGTTTGCGTAAGTACACACTATGATGTTCGCACAACAACGATATCACCTAACGACACACTGCTCAGAATGTACCCCTGTCGATAAACAACACACGACTACATACATATCCACTATAAATGTCACAAAAGAGATGACAAGAATGTCATGGCAATAATGTGTTTTACCTTTGCACAACTCTCTGTAGATTTCCTGCGGCAAAGCTTGTACAAATAGAGACAATGTATTAACAAACCAATTTTCATACAAAGTTATCCTGAGCACCAGCTGTATAAACCTTTTATGTTCTAAAGGGACACTAAGATGTTGTTCTCTAAAAGTCACCAATATTTTCTCAAAAAATACGGAAGAGAGGGGCTGGCCCCGTGGCCGAGTGGTTAAGTTCGCGCGCTCCGCTGCAGGCGGCCCAGTGTTTCGTTGGTTCGAATCCTGGGCGCGGACATGGCACTGCTCATCAAACCACGCTGAGGCAGCGTCCCACATACCACAACTAGAAGAACCCACAACGAAGAATACACAACTATGTACCGGGGGGCTTTGGGGAGAAAAAGGAAAAAATAAAATCTTTAAAAAAAAAAAAAAAAAAAAAAAAAATACGGAAGAGAAAACAGACAACATTTAGCTCTTCAAGCACATTTCAGGTAGACTTTAAATACACACTTTTCCCTTTAGTTTTTAAAAAAATCTTCTGATTAGTAGTTTCTGAAAACTAGACGATGTTTTTACTACTTTTACTGCTATTCTTAAGTCTTCTAAGAGGTGTTGTCACTTGCCCCTCTCTGGTTTGGTTTCAGCATGGCAATCCGAGTGATCCTTGACAAGTCAGGTCACATCACTCCTCTGCTGCCTGTTTCATGTAGAGCGAAAGCCACAGTCCTCACAGCACTCTCCAAGGCCCTCTCATTTCGTCTCCTGGACTTGCCATGAGTCTCACTCTTGCTCACCCCTCAGCCACACCAGCCTCCTCACTGTTCCTCTAACAGGGCTGGGATGTTCCTACTTTTGGTCTTTAGTCTCAAGTTTACATGTTTCCTCTGATTGGAATGTCCTTCTCTCAGCTAGCCACTAACTCCCTTTCAGTCTCTGCTCAAATATCACCTTCTTACTGAGGTCTACCCTGATCACTCTTTTTTTAAAAATTGACATATAATTCACATACAACATATTAGTTTCAGGTGTACAACATAATGATTCAATATATGTATATATTGCAAAATGATCACCCAATAAGTCTAATTAACATCCATCACCACACACAGTTACAGTTTTTCTTGTGTTGAGATCTTTTAAGATCTAACTCTCAGCAACTTTCAAATATACTTATTAACTACAGTCACCATGCCGTATATTACATCTCCAGGACTTATTTTATTTTGACCACTTTCACCCACTTTGCTCATCCCCCTTCCTCTGCCTCTGACAGCTACCAATCTGTTCTCTGTATCTATGAGTTTTTTTTTTAAAGATTTTATTTTTTCCTTTTTCTCCCCAAAGCCCCTCGGTACATAGTTGTATATTCTTCATTGTGGGCCCTTCTAGTTGTGGCATTTGGGACGCTGCCTCAGCGTGGCTTCATGAGCAGTGCCATGTCCGCGTCCAGGATTCGAACCAATGAAACACTGGGCTGCCTGCAGTGGAGCACGTGAACCTAACCACTCGGCCACGGGGCCAGACCCTTAATTTTTTTTTTTTAGATTCCAAATATAAGTGAGATCATATGGTATTGGTCTTTCTCTGTCTGACTTATTTCACTCAGCATAATGTCCTCAAGGTCCATCCATATTGTCACAAATGGCAAGATTTCCCTTTTTTTTTATGGCTAAATAATATTCCATTGTATGAATATGTATGTATGTGTATATATCATAATTTCTTTATCCATTCATCCATGCACAGAACCTAGGCTGTTTCCATATCGTGGCTATTATAAATAATGCTGCAATGAACATAGGGTACATGTACCTTTTTGTTAGTATTTTCATTTCCTTTGGATAATATCCAGACCTGGAATGACTGAATCGTATGGTAGTTCTATTTTTAATGTTTTGAGGATCCTCCCTACTGTTCCACAGTGACTGCACCAATTCACATTCCCACCAATAGTGCATAAGCGTTTCCTTTTCTCCACATCTTCACCAACATGTTATCTTGTCTTTTTGATAAGAGCCATTCCAACAGGCGTGAGGTGCTCTCTCACTGTAGTTTTGATTTGTAATTCCCTGATGATTAGTAACATCAAGCATTTCTCCACGTACCTGTTGGCCATCTGTATGTCTTCTTTGGAAAATCTCTCTTCAGATCCTTTGTCCACTTTTTTTTTTTGTGAGGAAGATTAGCCCTGAGCTAATCTGTGCCAATCTTCCCCTACTTTGCATGTGGGATGTCTCCACAGCATGGCTGATGAGCCGAGTGGGTCTGCACCCGGGATCCGTACCTATGAACCTGGGGCCGCTGAGGCGGAGCCAGTGGAACTTTAACCACTTAGTCATGGGGCTTGCTCTGCCCATTTCTTAATCAGGATTTTTGCTATTGAATTATATGAGTTCTTTACACGTTTTGGATATTAACCCCTTATCAGATATATGATTTGTAAATATTTTTTCCCATTTGGTAGGCTTCCTTTTCATTTTGTTGATGGTTTCCTTTTGTTGTGCAAAAGATTCTCTGATGTAATCCCACTTGTTTATTTTTCCTTTTGCTGTTTTTGCTTTTGGTGTCAAATCAAGGAAATCATCACCAAGAGTGATGTAAGGAGGTTACCTGTTGTGTTTTCTTCTGGTATATTTATGGTTTCAGGCCTTACATTCAAGTCTTTAATCCATTTGGAATTAATTTTTGTGTGTGGTGTAAAACAGGGGTCCAGTTCCATTCTTTTGCATGTGGCTGTCCAGTTTTCCCAACACCATTTATTTAAGAGACTGTCCTTTTCCCAATGTATATTCTTGGCTACTTTGTCATAAATTAATTGACTGTGTATGTGTGGGTTTATTTCTGGGATCTCTGATCTGTTCCACTGACCTATGTGTCTGTTTTTATGCCAATACCATATATTTTGATTAATATATCTCCGTAATATAGTTTGAAATCAGGGAGCATGATGCCTCCAGCTTTGTTCTTCTTTCTCAAGATTTCTTTGATTATTTGGGGTCTTTGGTGGTTCCGTACAAATTTTAGGACAGTTCTATTTCTGTGAAAAATGCCATTGGAATTTTGATAGGAACTGCACCGAATCTGTAGATAGCTTTCAGTAGTATGGACATTTTTTTAACAATATTAATTCTTCCAATCCATGAGCAGAGATTATTTTTCCATTTAGTCGTGTCTTCTTCAATTGCTGTCATCAATGTCTTATCGTTTTCAGCGTACAGGTCTTTCACCTCCTTGGTTAAAATTATTCCTAGGTACCGATCTTCCTCAACTTAAATGGGGCTACATCCTATTGTCCTATTTCTGATAAATCCATGATAAGTTGAAAATATTATAAGTCAAAAATGCATTTAATCCACCTAACCTACCAAACATCGCAAGTTAGCCTAGCCCACCTTAAATGTACTCAGAACACTTACATCAGCCTGCAGTTGGGCAAAATCATCTAACACAAAGGCTACTTTAGAATAAAGTATTGAATATCTCAGTAATTTACTGAATACCGTACTGAAAGTGACGAACAGAATGGCAGCACAGGCCCAGAACAGTTGTCAGTGTGTCAGTGGTTTACGCGCGTGTCTGCACAGCCGACCAGGAGCTGGAGGTTGCTGTTGCTGCGCAGCGTCACGAGCGTGCATCGTCCACAGAGCAGCAGACCGGGAAAAGATCAAAACTGAAAATTCAAAGTACAGGTTCTACTGAAGACGAATTGCTTTTGCACCATCATCAAGTCGAAAAATCTTAAGTTGAACTATCATAAGTTGGGGACCATCTGCATTTTATTCTTTATAATGCAACTGTAAATGGGGCTGTTTTTAAATTTCTCTTTCTGATCATTTGTTATTAGTGTATAGAATACACAACAGATTTTTCCATATTGATTTTGTATTTAGTGAACTTTCCTGAATTCACTGATTAGAACTCAAAGTCTTTTGGTGGAGCCTTTAGGGTTTTCTATATATATCACATCATCTGCAAAGAGAGACAGTTTTACTTCTTCCTTTCCTACTTGGATGCCTTCTATTTCTTTTTCTTGCCCAATTACTCTGGCCAGGCTTCCAACACTAGGTGGAAGAAAAGTGCAAGAGTGGGCATGTTTGTCTTATTCCTCATCTTAGAGGACAAGCTTTCAGCTTTTCACTTTTGAGTACGATGTTAGCTATGGGCTGGTCATATATACGGCCTTTATTATGTTGAGGTACATTCCCTCTATACTCACTACGTTGACAGTTTTTATCATAAATGGATGTTGAATTTTGTCAAATGCTTTTTCTGCATCTACAGAAACGATCATATTTTTATCCTTCATTTTGTTAATGTGGCATATCACATCAATTGATCTGCAGATACTGAACCATCCCTGCATCCCTGGAATAAATCCCACTTGATCACAGTCTATGATTCTTTTAATGTACTGCTGAATTCACTCCGCTAATATTTTGTTGAGGATTTCTGTATCTAAATTCATTAGGGATACTGGCCTGTAATTTTCTTTTCTTGTAGCAACCGTGGCTGATTTCAGTATCAGGGTAGTGCTGGCCTCATAAAATGAGTTTGGAAGTACTCCCCCTTCTTCTATTTTTTGGAGAGTTTGAGAAGGACTGGCGTTAGTTCCTCCTTAAATGTTTGCTAGAATTCACCAGTGAAGCCACCTGGCACTGGACTTTTGTTTGTTGGGAGGTTTTTGATTACCGATTCAGTCTCTTTACTAGAAATCTGTTCAGATTTTCTATTTCTTCATGATTCAGTCTTGGTAGGCTGTATATTTCTAGGAATTTGCCCACCTCTTTTAGGTTGTCCAATTTTTTGGCATATAATTATCATAGTAGTCTCTTATGATCCTTTGTATTTCTGTGGTATCAGTTGTAATATCTCCTCTTTCATTTCTGATGTTGAGTCCTCTTCTTTTTCTCAGTGAGTCCAGGTAAAGGTTTGTCTATTTTTTTAATCTTTACCAAAAAACAGCTGTTAGTTTCACTGATCTTTTCTATTGTCTCTTTAGTCTCTTTTTCATGTATTTCTGCTCTTCTGATCTTTGGTATTTCCCTCCTTCCACTAACTTTGGGCCTCGTTTGTTCTTCTTTTTTAGTTTCCTAAGGTTAAAGTTAGCTTATTCAAGATCTTTTTTATTTCTTAATGTAGGTGTTTATCACTATGAACTTCCCTTTTAGAACTGCTTTTGCTACATTCCATAAATTTTGGTATGTTGTACGTCTATTTTCATTTGTCTCAAGATATTTTTACAATTTTTTCTTTAACTCAATAGTTGTTCAGCAGCATGTTGTTTAATCTCCACATTTCTGAATTTTCTAGTTTTCTTCTTGTAATTGATTTCTAGTTTCATACCACTAGGGTTGGAAAAGATGCCTGATATGGTTTCAGTCTTGTTAAATTTATTAAGACTTGTTTTATGGCCTATCATATAATCTATCTTGGAGAATGTTTCATGTGCACTTGAGATGAAAGAGTACTCTGTTATTTTTGGATGAAGTGTTCTGTATATGTCTAAAAGTCCATCTGGACTAATGTGTCATTTAAGGCCAATGTTTCTTTATTTACTTTCTGTCTGGATGATTTATCCATTGATGAAAGTGGGGTATTAAAGTCCCCTACTGTTACTGTATTGCTGTGTATTTCTCCCTTTAAGTTTGTTATATTTGCTTTATGTATTTAGGTGCTCCTATGTTGGGTTCATACGTGTTCTTCTCTCAGATATCCACTGACTCCCTTCAAGTCTTTGCTCAAATCTTATCTTCCCACTGAGGTCTACCCTGATCACTCTCTTTAATACTGTAACCTGCCCCTGTCATACCCACCCACAAACACTTGCCAAATTCCTTACCTGCTCTACTTTTTATTTATTTATTAATTTTTAATTTTTTTGAGGAAGATTAGCCCTGAGCTAACATCTCCTGCCAACCCTCCTTTCTGCTGAGGAAGACCGGCCCTGAGTTAACATCTGTGCCCATCTTCCTCTACTTTATATGTGGGATACCAGCCACAGCAAGGCTTGACAAGTGGTATGTAGGTCGGCAAGCAGGATCCAAACCAGCAAACCCCAGGCCACCAAAGTGGAATGTGTGAACTTAACTGCTGTGCCACCAGGCCAGCCCCCTTACCTGTTCTACTTTTGTTTTCATAGGATTTACTTTCTAATATACAACATTATTTATTTATTTCTTATGTTTATTATTTAGTTCCCCCTTCTCAAAAATAAGCTGTACAAACACAGAGCTCTTTGTCTGTTTTGTTCACCAATATATCCCAAATGCCTACAACACTGCCTGGCACTTGGTAGGTGCTAAATAAATATTTGCTGAACGAATGCAGGAAAAGATAGATTTAAACTTACTAGTCTTTCCTTACTCATGATGAGTCTAAAAAAGGTAAAAAAAACCTTATTCTTTAATTAATACATCATTACATGCAAACATTGGTGAAGTTTCTGATAAAGAAATGTGAAATTCTGTAATTTGGAGTTTATTTATCTGGCACTGAATCTTCTTCATTTAAATAGGGCCACTGAATACGGTTAAGGAGGTTGTAAACTGAACAAAGGTGCCCAGCTAGGGGAACAACAGAGCCCAAAATTCGTTAAGCTGTGACTGCACAGAACTGGGGTGCTCTCTTCTACAATGCATGGAGGCACTGTAAGTGCTAGCATCTGCTGGTTTTAAATACCAAAACTTTAAAAATCGAATGATGTTTTAATGAAAATCCTTCTAAAATGTATCAGATATTTCCTGGAAAAACAATTGTGCTTGATGACTTGAGGCTTTAATTATGTTCTTCCCAGTAGCAAGTCAAAATACTAACTAACTTAAAATTCTAACTTCCTACACTAACTATGTGACCTTGGGTAAGCTACCTAACTTCTCCAGCCTAAGTTTCCAATTCGGAAAATTGGAATAATAACAGCTTTCTGTATTAACTATATTTTCTTATTTTCTGTATTCCTGATGCTCTGGCGTCTGGGCCCTTGCTGACTGGGGAGATCGCTTCTCCCAGGGATATCGAATTCTTAAGAGACAGCAAGGAAAGTGCCTCTCATATATAATCTAACCAATACAGAGCCCATACTCCAAACCACCTCTTCCATCTGCCTCTTCCACTCCAGAAGGTAAGATGTCCCTGCCCAACTCACTCCAGAGGTGGGTACAGACAACGAGGGACAGCCTGTGTGCCCAGAGACCACTGAAATTACTCAAACTAGCTAATCCTACATCTGCTTACCCTGCCTGGCCTTGCCCTTCTCCTGGAAACCACAATAAAGGCTCAGGCCCTCGCTCCTTCTGCTTCCTGAATGACCCTGGTGCTTCCCTGTGTGGCCCTGCCTGTGTGGCATGCTGCTTCGCTTGGGAACTGTGAGTAACAAACTATCTTTTCAATAGTAATCAACTCCTGATCTGTTGGCTTCACTAGACCTGAATAATAGTAAAACTTACATTTTAAAACACTTTCACAGGGTTTTGAGGAAGAGCAAATAAAAAAGTACTTTTTAATCATAATAATCTCCCCTTCAAAATCAAATATTTAAATGTGAAAACAAAAAATAAAAATGCCAGAAGAAAACCTGGGTGAATATATATATATATATATATTTTTTTTTTTTTTTTTTTGAGGAAGATTAGCCCTGAACTAACATCTGCTGCCAATTCTCCACTTTTTGCTGAGGAAGACTGGCCCTGAGCTAACATCCATGCCCATCTTCCTCTATTTTATAGGTGGGACGCCTACCACAGCATGGCATGCCAAGCGGTGCCATGTCTGCACCTGGGATCCAAACCAGCGAACCCTGGGCCGCCAAAGTGGAACGTGAGAACTTAACCGCTGCACCACTGGGCCGGTCCCTTGGTGAATATTTTTATAAATTCATAGTGAATAGGCTAAAGCCAGAAATCATAAACAAAAAGTACTGGTTTTAAACAAAAAACTCAGAAAATCAGAAATTGTAAAATAAAAGTACTGCTTTAAAAATATAACACTTGGATTAAAAACAAAAAAACCCCTAAGTGTTATGAGATATAAATCAAATACATGGAAAAAAACATTTGTAACTCATGACAGAAAAAGGATTAATATCTACAGAGACAGGAGACAGAGCAGTGGCTCGCTGGGGCTGAGGCTTTTACTACTGTAAAACTGCCTGAGCATCAGCTCAAAAGCTCAAAAGCAAGTAATTACTTCCCCAAAACTGATGTGTCTATTGTTAGAGTGTGGCTGAAAACAGTCTGGATCACTAAAAGGAGCTCACTATTTCCCACTTAACATTCATTTATTCACAAATAAACAAATATATATGAAGGTAAATTGCAAACTCATCTGTCCTCTGATCTACCGTAAATTCTAACTAGTAAAATTAAAATAAGTATATCTACTTGTAATAAAGAATGAAATAATTCTTTATGACCATAGCATCTTTAAAAGTCTTAAATACATCTTTTAAGATAGAAAAATAGACTTACCGTCCAAAATTTTATAAAGCACTGTAAAACTGTTGTAGCCACGAAAAGGCAATATAATAGGGAATACAATAAAAACAGCAGGAAGAATTTATAATTAGAAAATCCCACACAGTTATTCACCCTAGAAGAATAAAGAAAGTCACAGCATAAAAGTAAGACAAATCATAAACTCACATAAACAAAAACTAGAATGGTGGTTGCTAGGGGGAGGGAGAAATGGGTAGTAGTTGTTTAATGGGTACTAAGTTTCAGTTTTTCAAGATAAAAAAGTTCTGGAGATGGTTGCACAACAATGTGAACATACTTAACACTATGGAACTGTATACTCAGAAATAGTTAAGATGGTAAATTTTACGTTTTTCTTTTTTTACCATAGTAACAATAATAATAATAAATAAGACAGATCAAAAAACTTAATCATTACTGGGAAATGGGTCATTGGGAAGTAGGGAGCAGTGTCTTAATAGTGAATGTGTGTTTTTTAATAAATTCTATAAGGAATCTGGAAGCTTAGTATTAATTTTTAATACATTATTATTTGGGTTAACAACAGAATATATTTTTAAAGGAAACATTTAATATAAACATATATAAAATATATATGCATATGTATAAGTATACATGCATATATATAAAACTGGATCAATCTTGATATCTATAAGTAATTAAATTGACCAAAATTTAGGAATGCTGAGGTAAATTACTCTAAATTTTCTCCTTCCCATCTCTCCACCCCCATGTGTGATTTCCTCTATTTTTTATACGTACCAAGGACAGTGATGATCCATCTTAAGAACACATCTAAGAAACAAATAAGTATAAGAAAATCCATGTAGAAAAATTCCCCTAATTTCTTTTTTCTCCCCGTAATTTCTGATAATTTTATTTTAGCTTAAATTTTTCCCTTTATAAATACACCTTAGAAAAACCAACCCAGTAAACATTAGGTTAGAGAAAATTTCTGGTATGTCCACAAATATTTTCGTAGGTAACAGGTACCGATGGTTTTACACTGGGATTCAGCTGAGCACAGCCAGCAGCCTCGGACCACATCAAATGACGTTTTAAAATACACATACACTGCATACAGCACCTGGTACATTAGATGGGTCCAGTTTACAAATTAGCTACGGAGGTAAAAGGGAATACAGAAATCCCTGTGTTATTTTAAACATGTCTAAGTCATAAAATTAAAACTTTAGAAGCAAGTATGTTAAAATATTAACACTGATGAGTCTGTAGATGGTTATTTTTTCCACATATGTTGTAAAATTCTATCCGACGGATAAGCACGACTCTCCTCTTTATAATCAGAAAAAAACTCCGATTTGCCTCCCCACCAGTATGTGTAATCTCTATTTGTATAAAGTTAGACCACAGATCATCTCAAATAATATAGCAAATGAGTAAACTAATACCCAGCACGTTAAACAGCTTGTCCAGCTCAAGTTCAAGGACTAAGCAGGACTCCCAAATCAGGGATCTTTCCTTTAATACATTACCTTCTCACAAGTGCACAGGAAATATTTTTCACGTTTTTCTGGGAACAATGTTACAGCTGGGAATTGAAAACTGTTTTTGTGGTTTGTTAGGTTTTAATATCAGCATTAATAATAAAAACAAGAAAATTGTCATTACGGTCTTTTTAATCCAGGAAATAAAGTTATCTTTCTCAAGGGGTTTATCACTTAATTGCTCATCAATATTATATTAAGCATAAGCATAGGAAGTATATGTAGAGAAAGTTCGATCAACTGGTACAGGAACTGCTATCAAAGATAACTTCAAAGTATATTCTAGCTTATAGAAATATTTATGTTAGCCCTACATACATAGCAAATATTGGGAGAAGAAGAAGGGTTTTCGCCAAGTATAAAGCACATAAAATATCCCTTCCGCTTCCATCTCCCATCACCAGTTCCCAGCATTGGGGTTAAATGAAAGCCAACGAGTAACACTTACATGTCACATGCTGAGCAGTGATGCGCACGGTCAGGTTTAATCAACTGACATCTTTCACAATATCTGATGGCTATATTTAAGAATTAAAAGGAAGTTGTTGAAGGATGTACAAGTTTAGTTAATTCGATTATAAAATTTGCTTTCATTTCCTTTATAAACAACTCTGGGAAACTGACCACTAATAATTTTAAAATAATACCAAAATGCATTGGGGAGCTTCTGAAATCAAAATGCCAAGAGAATGAAGGGGACCTCAGAAATGTAGTTTGCCTAGCAATGTTCAGATGAAAAGTAGACCCAAAGGAAATAAGTGTCTTAGAAAGGTCAAACACCTAGTTTAGCAGAGAACTCAGATTTACTAAGTCCTAAAGCAAGTGCTTTTTCCTACTATACGGCCATGTCTACAGCAAAATACCAAAACTAATGTATATAAACTTTACGACATCCTATGGCATTTTGTTTTTGAAATTCTAAAATAGCTTTATTTAAGAAATACAAAAAACAGAACCTTTTATCTCCCACCCCTATCCCAGACGAACAGCAAAACTGACAACACGTTTTTGGAAAAAACCTCTGAACTTCTCCCCATTCGATTCTAATACATGCTATTGTTGCTCAGTTTATATGTCCATTCACTCAACACATCCTGGGCGCCTGCCAGGTGCCAGATACCCCTCCAGGCGTCAATCCCTGGCTTCGTGGAGCTGATGTTCTATTGGAGAAGACAGGAGTAGCAAGATGAGTTAACAAAATAGAGAGTATATTAGTGACAGGTGCTGACAAGGAGAAAACAGCAGGGAACAGGAAAGGGGTTCTATAACTTCAGAGACATCTGAGAAATCCGGACGTGAAAGCAGCGAATGAGTGAGCCACGCAGCTATCCGGGAAAAGGAGGATGCTGAGCACAGGGAACAGACCCTGAGGTGGGAGTGTGCTCAGTCTGTTGAAGAAACAGTGAAGGGTCGCCTGGAGCGGAGTGAGAAGGAGGGAGGAGAAGAGGTCAGAGAGTCACAGGGAGTCAGATCAGCTAAGGCTTATTCTTCCAACTCAGCTCAAGTACTCTGATAAGAAAGTCCAGAGGAAAAGTCCACTGACTAAGAGCTCCCTCAGAATCTCAAAGTTGAGAACTTTAGGTTTTGGTTTTTGAAATTTAAGTAAGTGACAAAATATATCTTTGAGATTCATGAGGGAAATGTCCCAAGACTTCACGAATCAATAAATTCCTTAAAACCATCACTTTGGAGGAATACAGAACAATAAAATTACAACGAGATGCTAATCTTTCTCCTTTATGACGGCCTTGAAAGCAAACAGACCACACTGAGTCTTGGCAACAAGACAAATTACTGTGGGTCTGTCACCAATAGCTGAAACTGTATAGATTTAGAGCATTTAACTGGTAAATACGCGACCTACTCTAAGAGGAGTGGACTTCTTCTGGGGGTGTCTGCCTGCTCTATAAGCCACTCTCTCTTCCTCTGGCCGCTCAGCGTCTCAGATCGCTCTTACGTCTGCACTGTGTGCGTCCAGCCTTCCCTTCTAGTTCACATTCTCTCTCCTGTGAGTCAAACATCGGGACTGAGAGACAGTGAGTTACGTGTGCATGTCGCTGGAACCGGGTGCCAGGCGACGGCTGTATCTTGCCATGCGGATTGGATAAGAAATCAGAAATCATTCGCAGACAGACAGTGTCAAAAATGAAGCAGATAGAGAGCCCCTGTGGCTTTCCAATTCTGGGCTCTGGTTCTTTCTCCTAGAGCTGCCCTGAAGCTACAGGAAATACCCACGAATCCCTTATACCATCCCAGTTTTTTGGTAGTTTTTTTAGGGGAAGGGGGAGTTTAAAAAGCTTAAGAAGTTGTCTGTTTCTTGTGATCCTAAGTCCTAACAAACATGGTAACAGCACAGAAAATAGGTTCAAATAAGAATTTAAATTAAGTATACCCTCAAAGTAGATGGACTGTGCCATGTGTCCTTTTGGAAGTCGTTTTGAAGACTGTCTTCAAAAAGTCTTTTTGGAAGGAAATTTGACAGTATTTATAAAAAATTTAAGATGCGTATGCTTTCTGACCCAGGATTTTTATTTCTAGAAAATTTATGCTACAGATACGTTTACTACAAAATTGTTTTAAATAATGAAACACTAGGAATAACTTGAATTATGAAAATGCTTAAGCATTTTATGATATATTCATATAGTGGAATACTGTGCAGACCTTAAGAATTTTCCATACAAAATACACATGCGCCCTAAATTGGAAAACTGCAAATACATTAAATGAAAAAAAGCAAATTGTAGCATAGTTTGAATATGTAGCATGTTTCACATGTCTAAATGAAAAAAAAATAGTTTTTTCTCTTTACATATCCCAATAAAATGCATCCACCTTCTAGATGTGAATTAACATAAATAAGAGACACAAAGTGTTATTTTGAAGCACTGTGATACACTGGCTAGAAGGCGCTATATCTAGGTAACCAAATTTGTACTAATATCTATCCACTCTAATTGTTAAAATATGTTACTTAATTGTATATAAGTTTTGCAATACTCTGTTATGTATAAAAAATTCCTGCAAGGACATATAAGAAGGGGAGTAACCTCTGGGGAGCAGTGTAGGGGTGAGGGTAGGCTCACTTCTCATTTGGTGTTCTTAAAAAAATGTTTTAATCATGGGCATGTTACTACTTTTATAATTTAAGCAAAAACTTCTTTAAGATGAAAGGAGTTTATACAAATATCCACTTATTAAATGAATACACTACACTTTATTGAGGGCATTCTATGATACCTTGCCTGGGTTGGACACGAGGGAGGTAAAACCATAATGTAGGAAAAGGAGAGCTACAAAGGACCTGAGAGAGCTCCTAGTCCAATCTCTATCTTACAGATTAAAAACACTCCAAAACCTAGCAAGAAAGTAATTTGCCCAAGGTTAGATAGCTGAACGAGTGGTAAGATGAGGATCAGAAGCCAAGTATCTTCTTTGCCTTTTGCTCTAAACTTTCTCCACTCAAAATTCTGACATTGCCCTGAGATGAGATTAAACCAAACAGACCTTTCAAGAAGACGTTTCAAGCGTCTTAATGACTGAGTAGATGGAAGAACTGAAGTAAAAGCGGCAGTCAAGGAGAACTTCCGTCTCTAGTATAGGGTGGCTAGAAGGCCGCTGCTGGCAATGACAGAAATAAGCTTCACGGGGCCCCCGGGGAGTGGGGTAGGGTGTTTTTCTTTCATTTATTCTTTCATTGAACAAATATTTAGAGTTTCTACCATTGACAAATACTGCTGGACGCTGAGAAGATACAGGTGAACAAGACAGACTTGCCTCTTGCTCCCATGGTATTAGGTTTTGAATTGATGCATCTAGTTTTATTTGAGTTTGAAAGGTCTGGATAGTAGGTCACTCAAGTACAGCCATCCTTTGGAAGCTGGAAATACAAGAGTGGAGCTCTAGGGAGAGCTGGAGATGCTGAATTGAAAGGCACGTGCCAAGATGAGTGACGATAAAGGATAAAGGCTCCTGGGTGCTCTGGGAGACAGGTTTGCAACTTCTTCCCTCTGAAACACCAGGAACAATGCACCAGCTGATTGAGTGCAGCTCGACTGCAGGCTGCGCGGTAGACACGTAATCCCTGTGTGCGGCTGCAACGCCACCCCTTCGCCTGACACGCAAGAAAGGGTTTGAAATGTGAGTGAGTACTAGCATGACAATATCCTTGAATCAGTTTTAATTCATCTCAGGAAAAGGTAACTCGTTCCTGAAAACAAATGATCTGAGACACAATAAGCTACTGATCACAACATCGTAGTGTCAGGACTCCATGGTTTAAAACAACAGCTGAAGGAACAGGATGGAAAGAATGGGGCAAGCCACCCTTGTGAGGATGAGAAACAGGAGACAAAAAATGCAGGAGGAAGAATTACCACTCAAGGATGCAAACACAGAAGTAGACTAGAAAATCACAAAGAAGAAAGCTTTCTAAGTCAGAGTGACAAAAAGCTGCTGAGCTTGGTTAGGGAGAATGGAAGCCAGCTGCCTGGAACTAGCCGGGAAGGAAGAGGCCCCGGGCACAGACGACTTATAAGAGGATCTGCAGCCAAAGGGAAGAGAAAATAGAACGGTAGGAAGAACAGCATCAGAACCAAATTTCTGTTATTGTTTTTAAGAGGAGATATAGCTTGAAGTATACCTGAAAGCAGAGGGAAGAAACTAGTGTGAATTTAAGTGGAGAAGCAAGGTTTTTAGGAGCAAACTGGGCAAGAAGAGAAGAAAAAGTCAGGATCTCTATACAAATAGAAGAAAGGACGAGAATGCAGACACCAAGAGGAAAGAGAGGCACGGAGGAAGAGTCCAAGGCTGGCAGCACAAGCTCCCGGAAGCCGCAGGGCCTCCGCCATCAGGTTTGGTACCAGTTCTCCCGCTTACTAGCTGGTGACCTTTGATCAGTAACTTACTTCCTAAGAGCCTCAATTTCTTCTCCTGTAAATGCAAATAATACCAAGCGTAAAGGACTATTGTGCAGACTAAAAAGAAATCTTCTGGAACACATCAGATTCTCAAAACAGTTATTATCATTATGATAATACTATCTCTGATAAAATATAAAGTCAGACTCTATGATGGAAAAAATTAGTAAAGGAGAGAAAACTAGGGGGATAAAAAGTGTTTAAACAGCTATTCTGGAGAACACGCAGGAATAGATTCATTCAACAAATACCTACTGAGTGACGATTTAGTGAGACCCTGCGTTGGGGACCATGGGAGAAATTCCTGACTGCCAGAGGCTGAAAGTCAAGGAGGTGACATGAAAACAAGTAACTAGAAGGCAGTGTTTGTGATCCACAAGGTAAGAATTTGAGAAGTTCAGAGAAAACTTTAAAAATCACTTCTTATTAAAGTGAATAGAAATGGGTTGAAAAGGGGTGGACAGTGAATTAAAACTTTAAACTGGATTTAGAGAGGAGAAAGTAACAATTCTAGGCAGAGAAAAAGACATAAAGGAAAAAAAAGGTGGGGCTGGACAGAATGTTTTAGCACAGAGTTGACACAAGGAAACATTGTGGGATGAAGCTAGAGAGGGACCTTGGACGGATCCAGATTATGGAGGGAAGGTTTAGAAAGACTCATTTTGTGTCCTGAATAGATAACAGTACGTCCACATGGTTCAAAGAAGCACAAAAAGGATTCAGTGAGAAGTCTGCCGTCCCTGTTGCCCAGCCCCCTGCCTCCTGTGAAGGCAGCTGCATGACTTTCACTGACCTCTGGTCTATGAAAGGTCTACTTTCTACGACACGTTTCTGTAATTTTGTTTTTTAAAGGATGAATAGGTATTCCTTCTACAATAAGGAAAAAAAAAAAGAAAAAAACCCCAAGTTTGGAATTCTAAGCAGTAGAAATGCAGTACAAAATGACGTTCAAGAGCAGGGACTCTGCTTGTAGTCAGAAGATAAAGTATGAATCCCAGAGCCCACCACTTGGGGACTCTGGGGACCTCACTGTGCCTCATTTCTCCACCTCTAAAATGGGGACAAGTGCAGCACCCTATCTCAGAGTTGTTCTGAGCGTAAATAATCGCCAGTCAAGTCCTTAGCATAACCCTGGGGCAACAGTCAATAGAGGAAGGGTGCTATTCAGATTAGAGGAAAGCCATTATAATTAATGAAAAGTAGTGAAGCTTTAAGGGTAAAGATTTTACATCAGTGGCTCTTAAGTCTTTGGGGCACGTGTACTGCTCTGAAAATCAGATGGTCCTGCTATGAACAGGCTACGTCAAAAACTACCCAAAATTTTGGATATAATCTCAGAGCTCATAAATTCTCTGAAATCTTGGACTTTGGGTTAAAAATGTCTAATCTACAGAACACCAACAATTATTTAAACCAGACATTTCATAATTAAATACAAAAAAAGGGTTATTTTAAATTAGCTTTCATTTACTATATACCAAGATCTATACTAAGTGCGTATCTCATTTACATATCTCATTTAATACTTCCACTAACCCAGAGACATGGATAATATTATCCTCATTTTAAAATGAGGAAACTAGGGCTTAGAAAGTTTAAGTGACTCTCACTAGTAATGGAAAAGCTGGCGTTTGATCTGAAATCCATGTTTTCATTCTATACAATAATATAATACTTATGCAAAAAGGGTAGTATTAAATGCATGAAAAATTTGTCAGTCAAATATCCTCTCCTAAAATCTTGTATAAGTTTTACATTTTCGTAAGTCACAACCTGTACATAACTATACAAGGGTGAAGCTCCCTTTACGTCCCCTTGGAGCTGAGCAGCACAGTGGGTTCTGGAGCCAGAGCACCTGATTTAAATTCCTGTTGTTTCACATCCTGTCTGTGTGACCCTGAACAACCTCCTACCCTCTGTTTGTCTCAGCTTCCTCATGGCTACTATGGAGACGGCAGCATCTACCTTGTACGGCTGCTGTGAAGTTTAAATGAGCTCATATGGGTCAAGCACTTAGAACAGAGTAATTGTCAGCTACTGCTATTATCTGTATTTGAATTAATTAATGAGGTATATAACACATCATTTAAAACAACTTCCTGTATTTAAATGAGCAGCCTGGCCACTCACAGAGTCATCCCTATCACAAGGCTCTCCTCGCGAGGAGAGGAAGCTGCCACCGCAGGTGCGTATCTCAGCGGGGCAGTGGGACAGTGCAAAGACCAGACAAAGCAGAGCTCAAACTCTGGTTCTCTGAAGATCAGCCTTACAACCTTGAACAAGTTTCTTCCCCTGTGTGTCTTTACTTCTCCCCATTCCAAGTTAGCACACTTGATTTTTTAAAAATTACTCAGTAATGACAAACAATATTCAAATTCAAACCAGAATTTCCAAATGATGATTTTACAAAGAACAATTGAAATTTTTAGCCATGAAGACTGAGTTGGAAAACAAAAGAATATGCAGAGAAAAGAGACTCATATTAAAGTGAGTCCCTTAAAAAATCCATGTCAATATATGTACATATCTATATCTGAAATACCACAGAAGACACAGAGCACAGGAAAATCTTGTTCCTGTAGATGCTATTTGACTATTTGTGGATAGTCAAATAGTCCTGTAAATGACTATTAAGTGGATATTGTGAATATCCACTTAATAGTCAAATCATGCAAATGCATCTTGGCAGAAATGACCATATTTCAAAAATTCTTTGGAAAGAGAAGCTTAAGATTTGCTTTTCTTACTCCTTGCAGCTGACAGGGTGGAGATAGGTAAGTCCCTTGCCGTTCTTCTCAAAATTTCTTGTTGTCTTTCTTGGTTGAATTCCTTTTCATAACGTTCCTTGTCAGAACTGGACAAGTAGAACTATAAAAGGAGAAATAACTATTAATTCTTTTAAGTCCCATAATTATTAACTATCACACTCAGAAAAATAAAGTTTTGTCCAGAACAGAAAAACACAAAAATATTTCTTCTATGAAGACAAAACTTGTCTTTAAATTTCTTTAAGAAGCTAAATCAAGTACATTTTCACAAAACTACACACCTTTGACAGATTAGAAAATATGTGCCCTCCATACCACTCATGGCAAAGAACATGAACTAAATATTTTTGCGTCTTTGTTTTTTACAGAGAAAATTAAATTCCTTCTCCAAAAAGGGTTTAACGTATATTTTCTATTAGTAAAAATTTTGGTGTTTGAGAGTGTCAAGAGATTTTTAATTTTTGAAAGGATGTCTAAAGATTCACTTGCTTTGCGTGACAGGCTACATTACAGGCATGGGGCCCTACAATTTTCTGGCCAAATGTCTCAATGAGGTCAACAAGTCATTCTTTTACGCCTTTGCCTTAGCTTTTACAAAGCTAACGCATAGGAGTACTTCCTCCAGAATTACTAAGGACCGTCAAGGCAGGCAGAGCCTCCTGTTCTCACGGAGAGACTCCGTTACAGAATTGTTCCTAGTTTCCATTTCTTAAGTTTTTATACCCATGGGGTGGCCAGCCTCTAGTTCATTTCTTTAAATCACATTTTCCCTACAAAGGATTTGTGAAGTTGCTCTTGTTTTCACGTCATCCCAGCATCTCAAGGACCCTCAGCTTCATGCCTGTGTTTCATGTAACCAGGAGCTTTACATTTCTGTCAGTCTTTATTTCACAGAATCTTTTTAAAACCAAAAATGGCTTGAGATTTGCTCTTGATCATGTTTTATATTGTAACAATGCTGTTCCTTAATTTTTATTTACATATAGGGCTTTGCTTGAAAAGGCCTAAGGAATCACGACTGGAATTTTACCTTTTCATATTTAAGTATTTTGGTCTATCTGCTAAACTCAAATACCAAAACTTCCCACACTCTTGATTCCTCATCATCAATAACAGTATTTAGGTTATTGATGTAGCCTATTCTTTATAAACAAAGCAATATCTGGCATAGTGGAAAGAGCTGCGGTTGATGAAACTGTGATCCCAAGAGAATTAGGGAATTTTTCTGACTGCATAATGACTGGCAGGGCCGACACTGAAATCAAGTCTTTGGAGCTGCACTCTAGTGCGTCTCCTCCAACAGCGCTAATGGAAAACAGCTGTGTGTGCCTTTTACAGACTGTTACTCTAACTCGACCAAAACATCATGGTTTAGGAAGTAGAAGAATCTATTTACATTACCGTGCCTGGCTCCCACAATCAAATCTTGATGGCACAAGAAATCCCCAAATTACTTGTAAGAGACAAGTAACAAGGACAAATGAAGGGTCAGAAAGAAGTCAGAAAAGCTTCACACAACCTTAAGTCGAGTCTTCAGGGGCCACTTATCTAACCCTCCAGGCAAGCAGGAATCTGCCGACATTTCTGAGATCCAACCCCTCTCGAATACTTGCAGGTATAGAAATACTTTCCTACTTTGCAAGACGGCCCATTCTCTTTTAAGAAAACTGTAACTTGTCAGAAAGTTCTTCCCTGACAGGATGCATCTCTGAAACATTCATAGTGGAGGATAAAAATGTTACATACATACTTGGATAGAAGATGTTCTAACAAAGTTTACATTTTCCTTGTAAAATCGGACCAGATTTCCCTGGGCTGTCTTTTCTAGCCTGCAGTAGTATCCCAGTCCTCAACAGCATTACTTTTCCTTAAGAACTAACGTTATAAATTATGAAAAACTTAAACCAAATGAAAATCTCAAGAGATACCAGAATTTTAGATGAGGAATGGAACAAAATTTAAAATGGATTAGATTTTTGAAATTACTACTAGAAGCTGATTTTTCATTAAAAAACTACCAAACAGAATTCAAACTATAAAATGCCATTATCTTAAATGCAGTGTTCAGATGATTCAATTTAAATTAAATATTTAAAAGGATCCAAAAATGAATAAAAATATAGCTCTTCCTTTCAAAAGTACATTCCTACAGCCTAGTAGGAATGTGAGCTATGCAAATAAAGAATTACAAATCAGCATAATAAGTACAACAGTGACAATACATCACAAGGTATGATAAAAGCTCCCTTGGGGATGAGGCGGTAGCCAATGAAAGTGTCCTGGAAGAAGTGGTACCTAAGCTGGCTTTTGAAAGACAAACAGGAATCTTCCAGGAAGACAAAGAAGGAAAGAGAATCTTGGTAAAGGGAAGGGCATATGGAAAGATGTGAAAACAGTATGGTCTACTCAGGGCAATGCATTACTGAGCACAGAGCTCCAGGAAGCAGCAGTGGAGACGAAGTTAGTTAGATGTTACTTCACACAGGGTCTTGTGTACCTTTATGACCTTTATCTTGTAGCTGACTGGCAACCTCTGTAGGATTACCAGAGAAGTGATGGGACCATGTTTTCTTTTTAGAGAGACGACACTTAGTGATGGAAGATGCCTACCAGCTCTTCGCAGGCTGCCTCCTCCTCCCCACCCATTCGTTCAATTACTTAGCAACCTGCCTATTATATGCCAGGTCTGATTCTAGGCAATGGGGAAACAGCAATTAACAACAAAGATTCTTCCTCTAAAAAGCTTATATTTAGCGAAAGAGAGAAGTACAGAGGTCTCAGCTTAAGTGCCACTTTCTAGAGAAGCTTTCTTTGACCACACTCTCTCAAGGAGCTTTTTCCCTAACAGCTTTTACTCTGCTATGCTCAACCGCATCATCACGTTCTATTTCTAAAGTTATCTGAATTTAACACAGTGTATACTTATTTTGTTTATTTACTTGCTTATCATCTGTCTCCCCCTTTCAAATGTAAGAACTATGCCTGTTTTGTTTCTTTTTAATTTCCAGAGCCTAGAACAACCTGACAAACAGCAGGGGCTCAGTAAGTGCTCGCTGACTGAAAGAAGGAAAAAAATACTACCCGCATTTATAACTTAACTTCCCTAAAAATGTATAGTTTTGCTTTTTAGACTCACTCACCTCGCCAAGGTCTGGTTTCCAAGTGCTGCTCTAACCTCTGAGCTTACAGAGTCCTTTTCATCTGGTTAAAGCCACCTCGCTGCTTTCTAGTGACTCAGAAAGAGCTATCTCAGTCAGCACACTGTATGCTTATTTAGAAAGAGAACCTTCAATTCCTGTTCTTGGTTGTCACAGCAGCTTAGCTTAGCTGGCCCTTGATGATTTAATCATTCATTCATTCAGTAGTTATTGAACACCCACTATGTGCTAGATAGTGGGGAGAGGGATACAGTGGAGAACACGATAGCAATCATCTCTACCCTGAAAAAAGTGACAAGTTAGTACAGTGACGCATACAAGTAAACAGGCAATTATGAAGCTAGATGGTAAGATCTATGACAGCGAAGATAGAATGTGCCATAGCTGGGCCACCAGATACAGGCTGGGGCAGTCAGCTGAACTTACAGGAACATGGGAGCATGAAGGATGGAGCAGACACAAAGGCTGAAGCCCTGGCTGAATGCTAAATGGATGCAATGTGCCAAAACCACCAAAAAAGAAAAAATTACATTTAGATGGCACTTACTATGTGCTAGGCATTCTTCTAAGCACTTTAACATATATTATTAACTGCTTATTATTGCTATCAATATTATCAATCATATACATTATTAATTTATTCAATACTTACAACAATCCCATAAGGTGTGTACCCCTATCATCTCATCCTCAGAGGAGAGACCTGAGGTGCAGACAGCTAGGGAAAGTCTCCAACGTCACACAGCTAGGAAGTGGCAGAGGTGTGAGTTGAACCTGGGCAGTCTGAAGCCAGAGCCTGAGTTCTTAACCTCTACACCACACTGCTTCTCAAAAGTATTACCAATTGTTTCCCTTCTCCTATTTTTCACTTCCTATAATGAGAACTATTTACTTTCACATATGCTGTGTTTTCAACAGCCATCACTACTAGTAACTGATGAAATAAAATTAGGTCCTTTTCAACTTAGAGATTAAGATATGGATGGGAGTGTGTAACCTAACTTTAAGAGCTGACTAATTATTACCAAATTTCTGAAGAATATATTTCAAGAAACACTAAGTTTGATTAATGGTTTACATTATCCTTTAAAACAAAAGTGCCCAACAGAAAAAAAAAAAAAGGAGCAAAAGACTGTTTGGCATTATCTACGAAGGCTGAACGTACACACAACATATGATCCAGCAGTTCTACTCCTAGCCATCCACCCACAAGAACTACGTCTATACAGGGATGTATGAATGTATATATGTTTCTATGTACACGCACTAAAATGTGCACGGCACCCCGATCGGTAACAGTCAAACTGGAAGCTACCCAAATGCCCCTGCCTATCAACTGCAGACCAGGTAAATAAACTGTTATATACCACTCCTGGATACTAAACAATAATGAGAATGAATGATCCAAAACTGTATGCAACAACACAGACAAACCTCACAAATAGATTGTTAATGAATGAAGCCAGACACACAAGCATACATACCGTATGACTCTATTCACGTGAAGTACAAAACCAGGCAAAACCAGTAGATGCTACTAGAAGGCAAGAGAATGGTTTTGCATGAAGTGGGTGATTGGAAGGGGGCAGGAGGAGGCTTACTGGATGCTGGTAATGTTCTGATTCTGGAACTGGGTTGCGGTTACTCCTGTGTGTTCGGTTTGTGAAAATTCATCAAGTGTACACTTATGATATGTATACTTTTCTGCATGTATGTTCTTCTATAAAAAAGTTAAATGGAAGTTGATATTATTTTTAAACATATGCCCTATAATTTGTGTGTCTGTGTGAGGAAGATTAGCCCTGAGCTAACATCTGCTGCCAATCCTCCTCTTTTTGCTGGGGAAGATTGGCCCTGAACTAACATCTGTGCCCATCTTCCTCTATTTTATATGTGGGACGCCTGCCACAACATGTCTTGATGAGTGGTGCACAGGTCCACACCCGGGATCTGAACTGGCAAAATCCAGGCTGCCAAAGCGGAGCACACAAACTCAACTGCTACACCGTAAAGAAGCGTATAATTTTTAATGAATTTTGATGAATTTAATGTGAAGGGAAGTAATTATATTATTATCTAATATTTGAGTGCTAACATGGGGCAGGTATTATGTTAAAAGCTTTACATGAATGAATTTCACTTATTCCTCATAAACATCTTACAGAGATAGGCACTACTGTTAGCTCCATTTTCTGATGACAAAAGCTGAGGTTCAGAGACATGGAGTGATGCGTTAGAGTGGAAAATCGAACTCAGACAATCCTAACTCTAGAGAACATACTCTTAGCCATCGAGCTATACTAAATGTTAAGTGAAGGAGGAATTCAGTCAGCTATGTCAAGGCAAGAGAGACTAGTCTTACAACTTACTCCACATAAATATTCACTCACATTATTTTCCAAGTGGAACCTCCAGTTCGAAGAAACACTAGCCATATTAAGGTGTAACAAGCAATAGCCTAGACAATTTGCTTCCCACAATCAAAACACTTTTAGATGCAGCATATTTGTTCAGGCCTGAGAAAATATAAATGTTAAGAGAGTTTCTAAAAATAAACTCTACTTTCCTAACTCAATTCTGTCCCTTAAGATTTTTTACATCAATAATATAAAGTATGTCTTTAATTTAAGAAAATATAGCATGGCAGAACAATATTAGTACAGCTAAACTCTAGCACTATCATCAGTCGTCCACTGGGCTCTGTCAGTGGGCTGTGTCTGAGAATAGGCTGATGACTCACGGTCACAATGCAGAGTTACCAAGCAACTTCATGAACGGAAACAGAACAAGCGCACTGTGTAATCAAGCTCTTACAAAGGTAAACACAGGGAAAATAATCCCGTAATTTGTTACAGCGTTTGGTAATTTACCTCTTTGGAGGGGGAAGCGGGAGATGTGAAAACTGTCATCCAATAGGACCATACAAACATAACAAAGAACAGATGGAAACCCACAAGGTAAACAACGGCCTTTCCTGGTAAATAAAAACAAATAACATTTCATTGAATCCAGGTGAAAACAGGAAAAAGCATTACATTAAAACACAATATTTAGAGTCGGGAGGCTTAATGGAATAAAAACTTTAATTAAAACGTACTGAAACCATCAACTATATAAACTCCTTTATCTGCATGATGTAACATTACAGATACGAAGAAACATTCTGTTCCTGCATTTAAGGGTTATTAGCCTGGTTTATAAGCAAGGACTGTAGTCTGAGATGAAATTTGATTTCATTAAGTTAGTGAAGATTTTTAAGTTGAACCATCTCCTTCACTCACTGTATTTCAAGCTCTTCCTAAATGTTAGATTTTAAATGACTTAAAAATTATTTAAGACAGATTCCATCACTATGAACATTAAATTCCAAGGAACTATAGACTGAAAGTAAATAAGGCAAGTTCCCATCACTGTGAAAAATGAGTACATTTGAAAAACAATTCCTGGATTGTTCAGAAAATTTATGCTAAATTTCATTCTCCTTTTCAACACAGGGTAATGAAAAGTTTTTAGCCACTTTGAATTTCTGCCGTAAAGTTTCCCAAGTGGATTAATGTAACATTCCAACATCTTTATCTTCAAATATTGATCCATTGATACAACTTCAAGCTTTTTGTTGTGTTCTGTTGTTTCTCAATTTGGAAGACGTGGGACTCATTTCCATAAGAAGCAAGAACTATCTACCAGGCGCTTCAACTCTTTTTCAGTTTGGAATGGAGCCCCACAAACCCGCTGAAGAAAACAAAGTACACACAAGCATGAAAGTCTGAAATTTTACTCATTTTTAAAAGTTCACATCAAATCTTACGTCTTTCACAAAAGCCTTCTCCATTACTTTCAGAATTCATTACCTCTTCACACTGCAATTAAAGCACTTAATTTGTTTCATTAGAGTTAGTGGCTTAATATTGATGAGCTAATACATGCAGAACACTTAGAACAGTACCCGGCACATAATCAATCTTCAATAAATACTGGCTACTATTACTATTACTGTTCAGGCATCATAATTTCTTCTTCTCAAAATTTGGTTCTTTTTGTGCATTCCATGTTTCAGTGTTTCCCAGGCTTAAGGACTGATCAAAGTTTTCACTGGTCTGCAGTGAAACGAGAAACATTAAGAATAACACAGTGCAGTTTCTATAAAGCTAACGTGTATGCAATTCGAGGTACTGTCCTTCCTTTGGTCTGAGGTTATTTTTCCTTATATTTGTGGTTGTAAAAATTTTTCATTTTAAATAAAATAACAATAAAAATTTCAGAACTCGTTGGACCCAACCTTTGCTTTTGCAATTATACTGGTCCATGCCTAGTCTAAGAGAACAGAATCCCCAGTGACAGCTGACCGATGCAGAACGCCAGGCTCAATGACTCCTCACATCACACAACTAATCAGCACAAAGTACTTCCAATTCTAGCTCCTGAAGTCTCTTTCAAAGTAAATGCCTCCTCATTATTTTCATTGCCAGTGCAACAGTTCATAAATTGTTGCTTATCTCATTTGAATTACTGCAAAAGCCAACTGGTCTCCTTGCTTCTATGCCATCTCAGCAGCCAGTGTAAAATGTGTTGCTTATAGTTTCTTCTCCCCCTTAGCTGTGAAATTCCTAGGAAATAACTCCATCTACATGTCTAATGAATGCAATCTAAAACTCTGGGACTTCCTAGTAACCATAATTGACTATGGCTACTCAAATCACCACTTCCACTTACTGAAAGCTGCTAGCAGGCATATGATGTTGACCTAAAACCCTCACAATAGTCCTATATGGGACTCTTTCAGTTTACAAATATAAAAACTAAGGCTCACAGAATTTAACACCTTGCCCAACGTCACTAGTTACCAAATGATAAAGCCAGGATTCAACTCACATCTGCTTAATAAGAATCCAAGGTTCTTTTTTTTTCACTGTCATACCCAAAATTATATTTTCTTCCACTTCTTTAACCATCATCTTAGTGGTCACATCCTACTTCAGAGCCAACATCTGACACCAAGATAAAATCTTAACTACAAGTTCCTCCTCTTTTCAAATTTGCTTTCTTTTCACTTCTACTAAAATTGACTGTCATCCTCACTGAAAATTCTGGTTCCTCAAAATCTGCATTCTCTATTACCTCAGCCCCCTTCCTGGTCTACACAACGATTCAGGACCATTCCTTCATGTTTCTTTGGAAGAGCATATGGAGCTCAGTCTCCTACTGTTACACTAACACTGAGGCCATTTACCAAGTCTGCAATGTTACCTTCTCCTAGCACACTACTTATCTTTTTGCGTGGCCCCCATATTCAGTCAAGTTTGTCAATCCTCATCTATATAGTATTGGATAGCTTTGAAATAAATGGTAACCTTGAAGTACTTTAAACTTCTTAATCATTTAGTTACTGACGACTAAGGCTAGGATGTAAAATATACTCAAAATATTTTTTAAAACATTTAATATATTTTTAGGATATTTCTGCTCTCCACAAGAACAAAAACAAAATGGTTTTTGTGTTAAAAAATCTTAATCCTGGTGGTTGGCCCCGGGGCCGAGTGGTTAAGTTTGTACACTCTGCTTCGGTGGCCTGGGGTTTTGCCGGTTCGAATCCTGGGAGCAGACATGGCGCCACTCATCAGGCCATGCTGAGGCGGCGTCCCACATAGCACAACTAGAAAGACCCACAACTAAAAATGCACAACTATGTACTGGGGGGCTTTGGGGAGAAAAATAAAAAAAATCTTAATCCTCAGTTTTAAAAAAACGGATAAAATGAATCTCTCAGTATAATGCCTGGAATATAAGTACTTGACAGATGGTAATTACCAAATTATAATGTAAAGAATAACAGAATATATTACCTTTAAATAAGTCCAAATTAATGTGACTACTATTAAGCAAACTTTTGGTCACATATATATGCTATAAACAACTGGTTAGAAGTAATAGAGAGAGTAAAAGCTTAGTTAACTAAGCAAATTAAATCAAAACTGAAAGAAAAAAACTGAACCTAGAAATCAGGTACAAGTTCTATAAGAACTTCAGAAACTCCGCTTTCTGTATCCCGCTTTCAACATACCAGAAACAGTTCTGACTGAAAGGAAGAAAAATAAGCCTACTAAGATGAGCTTGTGTTTATTCTGTTGCTGACATTAAGACTCAAAGGTAACTTGAGATATACACACTTAATGTCTAATAATTATTTCCAAAAATAAGAATAAATATTTATCATTAATTTCTAATGGTTCAACTGTTGTAGAAATTCTCTAGATTTTTGTATCTCAAATCAAATTTTTGAAATTTGATCTCAATAGACTTAAAATTTTCTTTGATCTTAGCGAAATTTTGAGCAATGATTTTTCCCTCTAGGCACTGTCTCTTTGTCTAGGCATTATAAAAACTTTAATTCCCTTTCAAAATGAACTAGTAATACAATTTACAAATTTACAGTCTGGTTATTTAATTAAATGTCTGTGATAGTAAAGTACTATTTTTAACAAATGCATAAACAACAGAACCATCAACAAAATTTAGACATGATGAAACAAAGTCCCCTCCTCAACCCTAGCTAGAACCAATATTAAAAACGTTTGAACTACTACGATAAAGAGTTCTGAAGAACACACAAGGCAGAAATACGTCCATATATATATCAAAGAAGTTTGGGCACTGGGTGCCTTACAAAATAACAACTACTTCAATTTATATAAATAAAGCAAATGAGAATATATTGAATGTAAAGGAATAAACCCAATGCTACATCTTCTTTTAAGCCTAAGTAAAACTTTAAAAATATATATTTTCTTTCTGAAAACAAAAACACATGTAGTCATCACTAAATAAAAAGCATGTGGGTTGCAATTAAGATACCATAAGTAGTCTACTTAAATTGAGACTAAGATTGCCTTACCGTTTTCTCCATTTCCAGAAAGAGTAACTAGAACAGAAGAAAAAAACAGTGAATAAATATAGTTTAAACATTTTGTACACAAATTCTATTTCAGGTTGGCTATTCATCTTAATATAATTTTCATAAAAATAAAATTTAGTTATGAAATGTAAACACTAATGCAAATTCAGAATTGTACACTCAAAAAACCCTGACACACTAAAATGCTAATTCAAATTCTTCTTTATCATTAACAGTGCAATCACATTTAAAAATCTTTTCAGACCTTAATTAATTTTAAGTGTATCAATATGGTTCCGGTTGTTATGCTTTCTTTAGCTCGTTCCTTAATGCCACCTACAGCATGAGTAGGACTCTCCTCTGTGGCACTCATACTTACTTAATTTGTCTGTGATGTACCTCCCGAACGTTTTGTCAAAGCTATACTCAAACTGTATGTTCCTAAATGCATCCAGCAGTTTCACATGTGCTGTGTCTCCCCTAGTCCTCCTTCAAGGCCCCGTTTAAACAGCACCTCCTTTGTGGAGCTTTCCCGAGTCCCTCTTCAGGAAGAGCATCACTCCTGCCCATCACCACTCCTCACTCTGCCATCTTTAATAGACCAGCTCAGTTTCTGCAATTACTCATTGATATGTCTCTCTCACCCTACTGGACTGCACATGTGTGGAATCATGTCTTAGAGCAATAACAACCCTAAAAGTTATCATTAGCTCCAATTTACAAATAAGTAAACTAAGGCTTAAAATAATTAAATGACTTGCCTGAGATCACGGAGTTAGTAAATGTAGCATAGATAGGGTCTGAACTCAGGTCTACTTGGACTTGTATTCTCTCCTGTAGTGTCTCTCATCTTATTCATGGTTTCAGTCCCAAAGCCTGGCATACAGCAGCAATGCTTAAGAAACGTTTATTAACGCAATATCCATTTCTGACTAAAATCTCTCGACAAAAATAGGCGAACCTGGATACTTCCTTAGTAAACGAAAATATGCATGCGTGTGTGTGTGTGTGTGTGTGTATCTACTTCAATCCCTAAACCAGCATAATTTAATGAGAAAACACTATGGAAGTATTCCTGCTAAAGTAAGGAAGAAAATAAGTAAGTTCGTGATCAATATTTTTAAAAAACCCATCGTTTTAGAGAGGCATAGGGCTTCTTCTCAATCCATCTTAGGTCAGTCAGGTGGGGCCTGATGTAGTTAGACCCTGGGCTGGTCCCCCCAGCCTCACAAAACATTTCCCCTTTATGACAGTGCACACTCAAAATATAATTTTCAGGACGTGCCTTGATGTGAAATAATTGGGAAGCACTGTCCTAGCCACACAATTATAAGAGAGAAATAAATTAGTGATATAAAAATTGAAAAGAAGGCAAATGTATCACTATTTGCAGATTATATGACTATATTCCTTCATAGTCAAAGAAAACCAAATGAAAAACTACTATAAACAAGAAGTGGTAGTGTATAAAAACTGACATACAGAAATCAGGAGCTTTCCAATATACATGCAATCGCTATGTAAAGATTATAATTGAGGAAAAGTTTTATTTATAAAGCCACCTAAATAGATAAAATTCCTAGGAATAAATATAAGAATTAAGCAAGATCTACCAAAAAAGAAACATTTTAATATTTCTGAGGGACACTAATCAAATCTGAACAAGTGGAAGGGCCTATATTCCCATATAGAAAAGTCATCATTAAAATGTCAATGCTTGATTATGGTGATGATTTTACTGGCGTGTACTTATTCTCAAACTCATCAAGTTGTATACATTAAATATGTACAGTTTTTTTAATATCAATTATACCTCAATAAAGTGTTTTTCTAAATTGGAAAAAAAGAATAAAATAAAATAAAATGTCAATGCTCCCTAAGTTAATCTTATACATTTAGTGTCATCTCAATAAAAATACTTTTATTTTTTAATTAGACAGACTCCAAAGTTCATTTGTGGACAAATAAACTTGCATAAAGCGGTAGGAAAATTCTGAAAGAGAAGAATAACGAAGTAGGACTAGTGATGCCAAATACTAAAGCACATTATTTTTGAAATATTATAAACACCCAATTATTAAAATAGTTGTCTTGGCTCATGAATAAACAGATGAATGGAACAGAAAGCCCCCACATGGACTCAAATGCATATAGGAATTCAGTATACAATAAATGTGGGATTTCAATTCAGCATGAATAGAGCCAATACTGTTGGGACAAATGGGTAGCCATGAGATGCACATGACCAGAATAAATTCCACTTCTATCAAACACTAAAACGCAAAAACACAAAAACAAAAACATGTATGTACTAAATGAAAACAAAGACAAATTTAAATATATATAATTTTCGAGCAGAGTAGGTCTTTTCAGAATACAACACAAAACCTAGAAGCCATAAGAAAAGATTGATACATTTGATTACATAAAAAATAAAAATAAATGCTTGAAAAAAATCAATATAAGAAGTGAAGACTACGAACAAACTAGGGAAACATATTCACAATTCTTACTATAGACTAAGAACTAATTTCTCTAATATTAAAGAGTACTTACAAAAAATAAGATTTTTTTTAAAAACTCACTTTTTCACAGAAAATACAAACAATTCAAACATAAAAAGATGGTCAACCTCATTTATGAGAGAAATTCAAAGTAAAACTACATGAATATCTTTTTTTTTTTTTTGAGGAAGATTAGACCTGAGCTAACATCTGCTGCCACTCCTCCTCTTTTTGCTGAGGAAGACTGGCCCTGAGCTAACATCCATGCCCACCTTCCTCTACTTTATATGTGGGACGCCTACCACAGCATGGCTTGCCAAGCGGTGCATAGGTCTGCAGCCGGGATCTGAACCAGCAAACCCTGGGCCGCCAAAGCGGAATGTGTGAACTTAACCGCTGTGCCACCGGGCTGGCCCCCAAAGATACCATTTTTAATAATCATGTTGGTAAAGATCAAAAGTTGACAGCATACTGTGTTATTACACTTTTCCAAGTAGAGAATTCTGATTTAAAATTGCTAGTTTCTGGTGGTTGCTTCCTCTAATTTCCCACTAAGATATTCATCAAATTACAGGAAACAACAAAACTGTTCTACAACAAAAACAAAACTAGACAAACCAAAAATGGCCAGAATCACTTCTTCACACAGGGCTTTCCTGACCACGAGAGTGGGTTAAACAAATCTCCTTAGTATACATTCCCACAGCACCTTACGTGTTCCTTCTCCTAACACCCCTGACAGCTGTCATTACTGGTTTACAACATGTAGTTCTTCTGGATGTTTTCCTTGGAAGGAGGGGACACCACTGACTCACCGGCCCCTAGAACAATATGGCACGGAACGAGCTCTCCATATTTGGACCTGCTCTCTAACCACAGAGACAGAGGCGTGGTTAGGAATGGCAAACATGGGGCTATCTGCAGAACCTCTGCCCCACAAAGGGCTAGCCCATTTCTGAGGATCCCAATTTAATATTTTTAAAAATTCCTTTCATGATAAAGCCAGGATTACAAAAAATATTAAGCATACTAAGTGGTTACATATGACTGTTAGAGGTGTCATGAATGTCCTATTTCAATCCTATCAGTCACCATGCATAATCTAATTCACAGATAACATTAACCTAAATCTAACGTTCTCGGTGAACATGAGGACTGGCCACATGCTACTCTCCACTTAACTGCCCCTTTTCCTTGCCTGTCTCCCACTTACTGAGACTGAAAATGCCAGATATTCACTCTACCATTTCCTTCTATCTACCACGGCCACGTGATACAGTTCTTGCTAATGGGTACATCTCTGGTAAGGGAAAAGTTATAGGAAAAAAAACTTTTTCCTCCTTGACAAGTGAGAAGCATGTGAAGAGAAAGGCACATTATTGCCTTTATCCTGTTTTCGCTTTGGATGCTTATAACGTGAGGATATGCTGTGTGGGTCTACAACTGCCAACTGTGAAGCCCGAGGGGGCCAGTACGTGCTGGATAGAGGATTCTGGGTTGACAGGTATTTTCGTTTAGCTCTTTAGAAGTGTTGTTCCCCTTCCTTCAGGCCTCCACGGCTTCGGACGAAAAATTCACTATTACTCTAATTTTTCCCCTATAGTAAGACGCACTCTCCTCACTGCTTTCAAGATTCTGTCTTTGTCTTTCAGAGTTTTCAGAGGTCTGGTTGCGATGTGTCTTGGCACGGACTTCTTTAGGTGTATCCTGTTTGGAGTTCACTCAGCTTCTAGAACCTGGAGGTCTATGTCTTTCGTCAAATTTGAGAAATTTTTTTTTTTTAAAGATTTTTTTTTTTCCTGCTTTATCTCCCCAAACCCCCCCTGTACACAGTTGTATATCTTAGTTGCAGCTCCTTCTAGTTGTGGGATGTGGGACGCTGCCTCAACGTGGCCTGACGAGTGGTGCCATGTCCGCGCCCAGGATCCAAACCCTGGGCCACCGCAGCAGAGCGCGCAAATTTAACCACTCGGCCATGGAGCCAGCCCTGAAATTTGAGAAATTTTAAGCTATTATTCCTTCGAATACTTTTCAGTCATATCCTTTTCTCTGCTTCTGGGACTCTAATGACACAAACATTAGATCTTTTTTTACAGTCTCACAAGTCCCTGATGATCTATTCTTTTTTTTTTTTTTAAAGATTGGCACCTGTGCTAACAACTGTTGCCAATCTTTTGTTTTTCTCCTGCTTTTTCTCCCTGAATCCCCCCACTATATCGTTGTATATTTTAGCTGTGGGCCCTTCTAGTTGTGGCACGTGGGATGCCGCCTCAGCATGGCTTGATGAGTGGTGCCATGTCTATGCCCAGGATTTGAAATGGCGAAGCCCTGGGCCACCAAAGCGGAGGGCGTGAACTTGACCATTCAGCCACGGGGCTGGCCCCGATCTATTCATTTTTATTTTCTAGTCTATTTACTCCCTGTTGTTCACACTGGGTAATTTCTATTGTTCTATCTTCAAGTTCACTGATTCTTTCCTCTGCCCTCTCTGTTCTGCTGTTGAGCAGACTTTTTTGAGTTTTTTTATTTTGGCTATTGTATTTTTCAGTTCTAAAATTTCCATTTGGTTCTTCTCTACATCTTTAATTTCTTTGTTGACACTTTCTACCTTTCATGTTACAAATGCTCAAGAAATCATTTTTAAGATGGCTGTTTAAAAAAATCCTTGTCAGATAATTCCAACATTTGTGTCATCTTGATACCAACGCTAATATCAGTTTCTCCACATTAAACCCAGCATATATGGGGTTAAAACCAAAATACTCATTCCCTGCTTACTCCCTGGCTTCCTGGCTCCAGAATCCACTATCCTCCATGGAGACAGACACCGCCAAGGACAAGCACCTAGATTATCTCCTCCCCGCAAAGAGATACAGGCTGGTGGGGAAGCTGCTGACCAGCAAGGTCACGGGCTCCCTCCTCTCTGCAAGTGTCTCAAGGCCAAAGACAGGCTGGTGGGAAAGCTCTGACCAGGAAGGCCATATGCTCCCCCTCCCCTACGTAAAACCCCAAATAAAAACCCTTCCTTTTAGCTTTTCGGGGAGTTTGGGATTTCAGGGTTAGCTGCCCTCTCCCCTTGCTCAGCACTGTGCAAAAATAAAAGTCCTACTTTCTTTCACCACAGCTGGTGTCCAAGATTGGCTTGCTGTGCAACAGGTGAGCGAACTCACTTCAGGTTCGGTATCAATCTTGGTTTTGTAATCTAAAGTCGTGTGCCACATAATGACATTTTGGTCAATGACTTACTTAGAAAATGGCCATTAAAACCCTCTATTACTTATTTCTAGACTTCGAAGCTGGCATTCTTCTGTATAAAGCTTTGCCTCAATTGAGGATGAATCAGACTCATTCTAAAAAGGCAGCACAAAAACCCGTTTCCCTTTAATCACCATTAAACATTCCATTTTCAGAATAAGATGTTGGTATAACATTCAACTCCATTTTTAGCAAATAAATTTAGTTTTTCTCCCGAATCATTCCCATTAGCCTTTGAGCACTTCCTTGCTGTCTAGCACAAGATGTCCCAGGCCCACTTTATGTTTTCCCTCCCCCAGACCCTAAATGAACCATTTCTCCAAGGGGTATTGGTTCTTTTTAAAAGATATTCAGAAACCAAGCTTTGAGCCCTAGGGGTGCTCACAGCTCCTCAAGTTTCATCGCTCTTGGGCCCTTGGGGTTGACAGAAGTAGTATCACACATTTATATTTATATCATATTGATATTTTCAACTCAAATAGCACTCTATAGTTTTTCTTAATTTCCCTGGCATTATATTTGTATCTCTTTGCTTTTACAATGACAATCTTAGTTCCTGATTAATTAATTTACTTATTCGGTTTATCCTAAAATATACATGAAATAGTTTAAAAACTGCATCCTATTTTAAGATTTCTTTGCAGTTTTTTAAATTTTGTTTTGGCTTTAAACTATAGCCCACTAAGCAGTACAATGTTCAAAAGTCATGTGAAATAAATTTTTTCTCTGTATAGTTACAGTAGCAACTTTATATAAAATTGAGTTCACCTGTTTCATGATTTCAAATTTTACAGCTTACTTTTTTCTGCTCTTTGTTTTAATTTTATTTTTTGGATATGTAAAAAATATAAATGCTTTAAAAGTCAAAACTATATAAAAAGGTACTCAGAAAGGCCTCGCTTTCATTCCTTATCCCCTCACCCCAGGTAATCTTTTTTTTTTTGGTGAGGAAGATTGGCCCTGAGCTAACATCTGTTGCCAATCCTCTTCTTTTTGCTTGAGGAACATTGTTGCTGAGCTAACATCTGTGCCAATCTTCTATTTTATGTGGGATGCTGCCACCGCACAGCTTGATGTGTGGTGCTAGGTCTGCGCCCTGGATCCCAACCCGTGAATCCTGGGCCACTGAAGCAGAGCCTGTGACCTTAACCACTATGCAACCAGGCCAGCCCATACGTAATCACTTTTATTAGGGTCTGTTTTATCCTTCCACTATTTCTTTTAGGAAAACAAGCAAATAAATATATCTTTCTAAGTTCTTCCCTTATATACCCTGTTCCACACCTTGCTTTTTTCACTTAACATATCCCAGAAATCACTACACATTAGTACACAGAGATAATTATTGTTTGTTTTTCAAAGCACTGCACAGGATTCCATTGTGTGGGTGTTCAGTTAGACAATCAGGCCTCTATTGATAGACATTTGGGTTGTCTCCAGTCTTCTGCTGTTGCAAACAATGTGGCAATGAATAACCTTATGCATGTGTTGTTTATTTGTGGGAGTTTATTTTCAGTGTAGATTCCTAATAGTGGGATTACTGGACCAAAAGTCAACCTGTCTGCTTTGCTCCAAATCCGTTACAGGGGTTGTACCATTTTATACTCCTACCAGCAATGCATGAGACTGCCTGTTTCTCCACAGTCTACCCACTAAAGTGTTTTCAAACTTCTGGTGTCACAGGCTAATTCACTGGGCATTTCCAAGTGAGGATAAGCATCTTTTCATATGTTTATGAGCCATTTTCACTTTTTTCTCCCGTGAACTGTTTATGTCACTTATCCATTTTTTTCCATCAGGCTTTACTCACTCCCTGGTTATAAGATCATCAGTCCATGTTTTCTTCTAGTACTTGAATGTTTTTATTTTTTACATTCAGATTTGGCCCATTTTGAAACGGCAGATACCAGGGACAGGAACACTATCAGATAAGCATGAAATATCTTGTGGTGTCAGAGATGAAGGAAGGAATAAACGATGGGGACATGTCAAAGGGACACAGACACCAAACTAAAGGGGCTTCTACTGGCCAAATCTGGGACAATTTGAGCAACAAAACAAATGACAGATTATAACCCATAAAATAAGAATCCACGTGAGTATGTGGATGTAAATGAATGAATGAATGAGTAAATGGGGAGGACGGAAAGCTCTTCCTTACAGTAGAATTCTAACTATTGAACATAGAAAAAATCACGTAATTAGAAAAATCACCATTTGGTAACCAGCACAAAAATAACTGTTTCAAGCAAGAATCCTCAACAGATGCTAAAAAGAGTAAGTGCAAGTAATCAGGAACAGATTTACAGAGTCTCAAGGCATTTCCCCACAAAGATACTTGTCTCAAGTTGGGTTCTCTGGAATTAGGTGCCTGAGATAGAACTTGGGGTGCAAGATGTTTACTAGGGATCAACAAACATGAAAGGAAGGGGGAGGAAGCAGAACTGGGCAGAGAGTCTAACTGCAGGGCGGCCTATGAAAGCCCGGCTGACAGGCAGGCAGCTTCCGGCCCCTTCTTACGAAGGTGAGGGTGCAGCTGCCCCAGGAAGGGTGTGACCTGGGTGAGGCAAGTCATGCTGAACGAGCTGATAGCTGGAAGCTATCTGCTGACCGCACTCGCCACAACTGAGCAGCAAGCCCTGAAGGGGGATGTGTGTGGTGTCTCTGAGTCTAGGAGAACACTTTTATTAACGACAAAGAAAAACTGTACCTTTACAGAATGGAGAAAGCTGGCAAATACCACCTTAAGTAACGACCAAAGGTAACAGTCCCCAAGATACTACAATCAATGACACAGCATCACCTTTGTGGTATTCTTGCTAAAACTGTGTACCCTGAATCTAATCATGAGAAAACATCAGAGAAACCTAATTTGAGGGACATTCTACAAAAGCCTGTACTCTTCAAAAATGTCATGGTCATGAAAGACAAAGCCAAGACTGAGGACTCTCCTAGATTATCAAAGAGACCTGAAAACTAACTGCAACCTGCGATCCTGGACTAGACTGCAGAGCCAAACAAAGGATCAGTGGGACATCTGGTGAAGTGTAAGACTCATAGACTGGAGAGCAGTATTTTATCAAAGTGAATTTCCTGATTTTGATAATTGTACTCTGACTATGTAAGAGAACGTTCTCTGCTATAGACTGAATACCGTATCCCCCCAAAATTCATATGTTAAATCCTCAGGCCCAATGTGATGGTATTTGAAGGTGGGGCCTTTGAGAGGTGATTAGATTACGAGGGTGGAGCCTGCCCTACAATGGGAGAGTGCCTGCCCTATAAAAAAGACCTCAGAGATACACACCCCTCAGCATGTGATGACACTGCCAAGTTACAGCAAAGACATGGAGAGTGGAGAGAGTTCTCATACACCCACTGCTCTCTCAGTTTTAATTAGAGGCTTTGTGGTTTAAAATCTGGCGGGTTTTGCCCCCTTTATCAATCTTCTTTTTCAGGGGTTTCCCGGTTGTTCTTTCTTATTTATTTTTCCATAGGACCTTTAGGATCAACTTGTCTGGTGCTAGAAAGAAGAAAAAAACTTCATTAGGACTGGAATTCATTTTTACATTAACTTGGGAAGAACTGAAATCTTTATAATGTTGAGTTATTCTATCCATGAACGTGAAATGGGAAACGTCTTTCCATTTGTCCAAGTCAACTTTTGTGTTTTTCAAGAATGTTTTCTTCTTACAGGTCTGGCATAGCTCTTAAGTTTATTCATAAGTATTTTATTTTTTGATGTTATTGGAAATGGAGACTTCTCTTCCACCGTATTTTCAATTATTCTTTATTTTCATTATTGTGTCTATGTAGAAAGTATTGGTTTTGTTTGCTGACTTTATGCCCTGCCATTTCACTCCACTCTTTCTGCTCAGGTGCTCTGTCATTGCGGCTCCTCTCGGCTTTCCGCAGGCACCGCCCCATCGTCTGCACACAGAGGCTGCTCTCCCTCTTCCCTCCTTATGTTTTCTTCTCTTATGTTTCTAATTGTTTGCTCTTGACTCAGTGTGGTAATTGATTTTGTCAATACAATATTACAGAGCAATGGCCACAGTAATAAGCACTTACTTTGTTGTTGGTTTTAGTGGAAATCAATCAAGCATTTTGTGTGTGTGCGATTTTGTTTGAAAAGTATCCATTTATTCCTATTTTACTAAGTGTTTTCTTAAAATCAGGAATGGATGATGGATTTTTCAAATACCTTTTTGGCATCTATAGAAATAAAGTTTTTCATGCTAAATGTATTAATACGATGAATTTAATAACAGAAGTAGAAGGAATGAGCCGTCACCTCTCCTATGTACTGGTAACACCACTTTCTTCAGAGGCACAGTCCCCTCAGCGCTGACCTCCCCCTGCCGCCACCACCACTGCTGCAGCTTTGCTCCCAAAGGTCAAGAATTGTCTAAGTCTAAAAGGATTACAAACAGATGGTTCATGAAAAAAGAATTTTATGGTAAAAATATTTTAGAAAAATATTGAGTTAAACAAAATTACATACTTAGTTACAGCAGGGCTTCTTAAAACTGATAACAGGCAAATCGGCACCGTGATATTCAAGACAGGCGGTACTAGATGACGACCAAACGCACCTGACCACGTCCATTCCCGTATCTTTGACTCCCAGGGTCACGTACAGTACATGCAACACTCTAAGCACTCAACATTTGTTAAATACCTAAATTAACAGAGATGTTTGTAAGGTCAGGAGAACATCTGTATTCAAAATTAACTGTGAGTTATCTACTGTGTGGATATGGGGACTGCAGCTGTACAATCAATTCACTAATTCAACAAGTATCCACTGTGTACACATTACGCAGGACCTGCTTCAGGTTCTGGAAACAAGCAGTGAACATACTACTGAGGAGAGAAACACAAATAACCACATGTCAAATAGTAATAAGCGCTGTGAAGAACAACAAAGCAGGCTGAGGAGAAAGTGAAAGAGGAAGTACTGGTTTTCTATGGGGTAGCCAGGAAACCTTTCATAGGTGAAGATGTGAACCGAAATCTTGATGAAGTGAGAGCCAGCCATATGGAAACCTGGGAGGCAAGCCTCCCGGGGGAAGGAGCAGGTGGGACCATGGATGGCCGGATCAATGACAAGCAAGGAGGCCTGTATGGCTGAAGCACAATGAGCCGAGGAAGAGGCGGTCAGAAGTAACAGTGGCCAGAGCATTTAGGGCTTTACAGACTACAGAGAGAACTCTGGATTTCATCATGAGCCAAGTGGAAACCCTGGAGGGTGCAGAGCAGAGGCGCTAACAATCTTGACTTGGGTTTTAAAAGATTCACTCTGGCTTTTTGGAGGGTGGAAGGAGAATACAATGTTAGAAGGCTACTGCATAACTATGACCTCTACCCCTTCTTTTTCAATACTTACAGAAAGTATACCCGTTACCCATAGAAAAATGGGAATGACAGAGTATCAGAAAGAAAAAAAGTCAGTATAACCTCACACAAGTGACAAACACTATTAACACTATGGTGTGCAGCATTCTCTCCTTCAGCTGCTCCCGGTGTCCCTTCCACACAGTTAGCTTAAACTGCCCTAAAGACTTCACATTGAATAAGTTCAAGTTTGTTTTTATACGTTGTTCAATTAGTACGTTAATAAAAATTACTCCTTCTATGATTCCAACTGGGTGGACCAAAGCTCCTATTAGTAAATACAATGGGCAAAAGAACATACAGAACAAAAGTGTTTTAAAAACAGAATTTTTAAAAATCTTTATCATCAAGATTTATGGATCTCTTAGAAATCTCTTCTCCATAAAACCATACTCACCATTATTTGTGAGCTACTATTTCATTTATTTCAGTGTAGGTGCCCACTTGCTCAAGAAGATATACCACATATTTCAGCAATACCTAAACCTGGCAGCTTCTATGCTCACAGGAGTAGTGTTACATGTTAGTCTTCTTAAAGCCCCACGTGATGATGATGTGGGGGGCTCCTTCCCTTAGCAATATACTCTCCCACCCACACACTCCTGACACTACCAGCAGCTCACAGCAAAATAGGCACATGTTTTTGCAATATAATCTTCAAATACAGCCAATTAAGAAAAGAACATATTTAGAAAATCTGTGTGAGAATGTGCTCCTTCACTCAAGACTGTGGAGGTGGGGGCAGAGGGGACGACGATAATACAACTCTAAGAATTAAAACAAACAACTTCCCACCAAAAAAGGGAAGGCAAGAAAATATATGCCAGTGACTGTTTAAATCTTCTCCCTACCCCGAGTAACATGTGAAAGCCTAGTCTGCTAAGAACTTCACCTTATTTTGCAAGACAGGTTTTATCCCACTTTAAGCCCATTTTATAGCATAAGGACAAGTTCAGAGAGGTTAAATAATTTACTAAGATCACTCAACAAGTGTTAAAGTATAACAAGAAGGCAAGCGTGGCAGCTGCAGATCACACAAAAGGAGGGGGGAAGTAAGCATGTCAGAAGTACTGTGGGGAGGAGGCCACGGTGAGGACTTCCGGCGTCCCACTAACAAGCCAGCCAGCCAGCCAGGGTTTTCAGAAGAGGAGTGACAAATCGGGTATTAATTTTAATGGGATGATTCTGTCTGCTTCATGGAGAAGAGACAGGGTCCAGGGTGAAGATGGTGGCGGCATGAGGACGGGAGACAAGATACAAGGGTACTACAACAATATAGGTGATAATGTAGCTTAACAAACCACCCAAAAGTTAGTGACTTTAAACAACCAGCATTTACTATCTCCCACAATTGGCTGGGTCAGCAGTTCGGGCGACGATCAGCTGGGCTGTTTTTCTATCAGGGGCAGTCAACTGGCAGCTCAACTGGGGCAGGACCATCTGGGATGGCCTCACTCACACATCAGGGGCTTTGGTGTTTAGCTCATCTTGGCTGGGCCTCTTTCTCCATATGGTCTAGCCTGGACTCCCTTACATTGGCAGCCAGAACATTACAAGAGAGTTAAAGGAGAAGATGCATGCTGTCCTGAGGCCTAGGCTCCAGATTTCACACATCACTTCCACCACATTCTATTGGTTAAAGCAAGTATAAGGCTAGCCCAGATTCACTAGGGAGGTTGGGGGGGCGGTAAACAGACTCCACCTGTTGATGGGAAGAGGTACAAATTATTGTGGCCATGTTTTTCAATCTACTGCATAAGACAGAGATCATGGCGGCTTGAATGAACACAGTAGCCGCGGTGGCTGTGAGAAGAAGCCGGATTTGGGCACATTTAATGACAGGATCTGCTGATTAATCGGATGCGGAATGACTTTTCAACCAAGGAACTGGAAGGATGAACTGTCGTTTACTGAGCTAGAGTAGGAGCAGGAGGTACGGGGTTGGGGGAACTCAAGAGTTTTGTTTTGGACAGGTTAAGTCTAAGAATCTGAGATGCCTATCAGGTATCTGAGCAGAGATGTCAAGTAGACAGATACTAGAGTCTGGAACTGAGCATGCTACGTCGTCTTTGCCACCAAGTGGAAGCGGCCAGACGAGAAGGAAAGTTTTATTTGCATGACTAGGGCATAACGTTTTTCTTGCAAATAGTCTGACCTGGTTCCTGAGATGTCCTGCACCTTTTCCTTCCACATTTCTCGTCTTATAAGAAAGCAGTGAAGGCCCAAAGAAATTTCAGTTTATGGGGAAGAAAATATAAAAGCTCTTTTTGTTCATTTCGGTGTTTTTGGATATGTATTTTTAGAACTCTCACACCAGTTTGGTTTCCTCCATCAACAGAAAACAATATCAGAGCAGATTAACTCACTAGCAGTCATAAAAAAAATTATTCTCTAAAAAAAGAAAAAAAAGAAGGTTGGGATAATTGTAGAATGCAAATAAAGAGGTTTGCAGGGCACTATAGCTTTCAAAAGGCAAGTTATATAGAAAATTACTACACTTTAGCTCTAAAAAGAGATAATAACAAAATTAATAAAAAGGTTTTTAAAAATATTCTAATTCAGGGGCTGGCTCCGTGGCCGAGTGGTTAAGTCTGTGCGCTCCGCTGCAGGCGGCCCAGTGTTTCGTTGGTTCGAATCCTGGGCACGGGCACGGGCATGGCACTGCTCATTGAACCACGCTGGGGCGGCGTCCCACGTGCTACAGCTAGAGGGACCCACAACGAAGAATATACAACTGTGTACTGGGGGGCTTTGGGGAGAAAAAGGAAAAAATAAAATCTTTAAAAAAAAAATATTCTAATTCACATCTTAACTTTTCCTATAATTACGTCAACCATTGTGGATGAGATTTAGGGAGCTAGATTTTTTTTTAAGAATATCAGCATAATTTCAAACAGTCATTGTTTCATAACCCAAAACCAAGACTGCAGAACCAATAAGCAATATGTAGCCTTTAACCCCAAAGACTTGAAATATAAGATTGATAATTTAATTAGTATTGTTATTGTGGATGTTTGTTCTAACACATTCAAACATGACTCAAATGAGTTTGTAAGAGCATGATTCTATTCAATTCAAGACACAGTGATTCAAAGTCTACTAGTAACTAGACTCTCTGGTGGTTACAAAGATGAATAGGACCCCATCACACTACAAACCTTGTAAGCAGGGTTTTTCAAATACTTAAATATGATACAATAAAGGGCATACTTTTATATTCTAATTCAACACACAAATGATTTGTAGAGGCTTACTAGAAATATACCCTTAAAACTATAAATATATTTTAAAAACAGAAAAATACAAATTAGAATGTAAAGTAGAGAATGAGGGGAGAAATAGCGATACATGCTACAAAACAGACGGACCTCAAAAACATGTAAAAGACACCGGGCACACAAGACCACCTACTGCACGACTCCAGTTACCTGAGCCGTCCAGAAAAACACGCCGAGACAGAGGGCAGGTCAGCAGCTGCCCCGGGCTGGGGGTGGGAACAGGAACTGACCATAAATGGGCATGAGGGATCTGAATGAAGTGAGAGCAATTTTCTAAAAACGAATGGTTATGATGACTGTACAACTTGGTAAGTTTACTAAAACTCACTGCATTGTACATCTCAAATGACTGAATTTTATGCTATGTAAATTATACCTGGATAATCTTAAAAAAACAGGCAAAATAAAAACTTTTACAGACATACAACAGCTGAAATAATTCATCACCAATTGACTAGTATTACAATAAATGTTAAAAGGAAGCCCTCAGGCAGAAAAAAATGACACCAGATTGAAATACAGATACATAAAAAAGAATAAAGAGTACCAGAAATGGTAACTACATGGGTAAATATTTAAGCTTTTTTTTTATTATT